TGCAGTGGAAGCCATCCATGAAAATCTATCTACCTAAGAAACAAGTAAAAACATTCAGCTCCATATTCAGTTCTCTTGCGTTATATGCTGATTATAATTGGTAAATATATTGCAGAGAAGCAGACATGAGGACAGTGAGTGAGAAAACAAACTCGAGAGTAGCTTGGTGCAGTATGATGTCGCTGGGTATTTGCATTGTTGTCTCTGGTTTACAAGTAGCTTACTTGAAGCATTACTTTGAGAAGAAGAAACTCATCTAAGCTTTTTGACTCATCCACTTCCTTATAAGAGTTTTCTAATTAATTAAAGGAACAATATTCATTTCCCATCCTTTCTTTTTTGTTTACATTTTTTATGCACTTTATTATAAGCCTAAACATGTTTATCTTTTTTGGGAAATTGCCAAAAATAACACTTTCAAGATACCACTTTTCAACTTTACACTAACCAACTTTACCACTAAAATTTTAATAATCAAAATACTATTAGAATTTAGGGTTTAGGGTTTTGGGTTTAGGATTGATAGTTTAGGGTTTATTGTTGATTTTTTAGGATTTAGGGTTTACTTTTTAGAGTTTAGAGTTTAGGGTTTAAGGTTTAGAATTGATATTTTAGGGTTTAGGGTTGATTTTTAGGGTTTAGGGTTTACTTTTTTAGGGTCTAGAGTTTAGAATTGATGTTTTAGGGGTTAGGTTTAATATTTTATTCAATATTTATTTTATGTATATATATAAAAAACAAGGATATAAGAGTCTTTTATCCTTTAATAAAATGTGTATTTTTGAAAATGTTCATTTGTTGATGGTAAACATGAAAAGTGGTACCACCAAAGTGGTATAATTGAAATTCTCCCATCTTTTTTTTTATAACATTGACTTATATTATTGTATTACATTAAAAAAATATAGATTATTATAAAATAAACAATTTTCTAAGATTCACGTTTTACAGTCCCTTTTTTTTTGAAACACTTTAAACAATTTTATGAAAATTCATATAATAATTTCACGTTAATATTTTTATATTTTTCATTAATGTATAAAATTGTTAATAAATTGTTTTTTTTTTCCCGAAATCCTGAAATAAAAACATTAAAAATCATTGTCAAAAGTGGAGCAAATGGGCTTACACACACGTTTTATCTTTATGCTGTTAGATCATAGATAAGATCAGTGATTCCCAAATAAAAGACATAGGCCCACTAAATAAACCCTAAGCTCAAAAGACAATATAAGCGTCTCTCTCATTTCGTTTATTCGGCGGCTTCCTAGGGCTTTTACTTGTAGCAGGAAAAAACAAAAATGCCGGCAGGACATGGAGTTCGCGCTAGGACAAGGGATCTGTTCGCCAGAGGGTTCAGGAAGAAGGGTACAATCCCATTGTCTACCTACCTCAGGATCTTCAAGGTCGGAGATTACGTCGATGTTAAAGTGAATGGTGCGATCCACAAGGGTATGCCCCACAAGTTCTACCATGGTCGTACCGGTCGTGTCTGGAACGTTACCAAACGTGCTGTCGGTGTTGAAGTCAACAAACAGGTCTGAACGAAATAACTCACTTCTAATGTATCTTGTCTGCTGCTTAAGAGCTTCTTCTTGTCGTGATTCCGACACACTGATAAAAATCTTATATTTTTGAATTAAAATTTGAGCTTAATTGGTTAAGTGTTTCTATTGGTTGGATTTTTAATTACCTATGAGCATCTGATTAATGATTATTGCAATGATGTAATTTGGTTTCATGACTATGATAGTGCTCTAGTTTGGGTTAGAGTCAATGATCAATCATAGACATTGGTTTCATGATTATTGCAATGCTGTCGGATTCATGATTTGATTATATGTTTTGGCCTCATGGTTATTGCAATGTGTGATTTGGTTTCATGACTATGGCGTTGCTCTAGTTTTGCTAAAGGGTACACATTCGGTTTAGTGTTAAGTTCTATTAGTGTCTATTAATCTTGGTTGGGTAACGTGATTACTGACATATGTACTTGTTTCGTTTCAGATTGGTAACAGAATCATCAGGAAGAGGCTTCATGTGCGTGTGGAGCACGTGCAGCAGTCAAGGTGCGCAGAGGAGTTCAAGCTGAGGAAGAAGAAGAACGATGAGCTCAAGGCTGCAGCCAAAGCCAAAGGTGAGACAATAAGCACCAAGAGGCAGCCTAAAGGACCCAAACCAGGATTCATGGTTGAAGGTATGACCTTGGAGACAGTCACCCCAATCCCTTACGATGTCGTCAACGATCTCAAGGGAGGCTATTAGTTTTCTACTTTCTTCCCCCACCCAGTGTTTTGTGTGTTTGGATCTTTCCTTCCAATGTTTTGTAGCAACTTGAACCTTTCACTTTTATATAGCAGGAGACATTGCTTTGAAACCTTCCCATTTTATAATGTGTCTTTTTCAACCAATTAGTTTACCTTAATTCAGTGACAAAAAAAAGTTTACCTTAATTAATTTAAAAGCCCACTTTAGGCCCACTTTGAATAAACGCTGAGTCAGATTTAAGATAACATTGATGTGGGGGGCCACAAAGATCCACGCGTTTCCACGTGGCGGCCACTAACACAACCTCCTAGTTTAACTTGTTTTCAACACTGATGAACTCGAACAGTTAAGAATGGTATAATGTTCTGTTCCTCTTCCTCCGTGAATAGGGGACGATCATCTCTGTCATTCTTCTACTTCCTTTAGAAGAATACAGATAGAAACCAGCTGCTTCTGTATGTTTTTCTTCGTTAATTCTGTTTTTACACTTTCAAATGTCCTTAAAATAGATTAATAGAAAGTAACTTCTTTTCACCCCTAATTTATCTTATACGTCATCTCCTCTCATCTCTATTCATCAAACTCTTCCTTTTCATTCTTTTGATTCCAAATCAAAAACACATTTGTTCCCTTTTTTTGTTGGGAGTATAATCTAATATTATGGGCTGCAGCTGCTCTAAAGGAGCACGAGAAAATGATACCATCGACGAGAACATTAGCAACAACTATGTTAAAACCTCCAAGAACAAGAGGAAGCCTACTTCTTCGAGCATAGCCATTGTAGGATCCGATGAAAGGTCAGGCTTCATTTATTCCAACAAAGACAACGATACCACATTGGCGGTTTTGATACCAAGTGATCCCACAAACTCAACTCCCTTGTCATCTGTTGAGGCTGAGAAGAAGGTGAATATCGAGAGAAAATCTTCCAGGTCTTTGTTCCAGAGACGGCCTACCATTGACACCAAAAAACTAGGAGCACCGCAACAACCTATGATGACTAGGATAACAAGTGTTAGTAATGGAGAAAGAGGTGCTCAGGTTGTTGCTGGTTGGCCTTCTTGGTTAGCTTCTGTTGCTGGTGAAGCTATCAATGGTTGGATTCCACGCAAAGCTGATTCCTTCGAAAAATTAGAAAAGGTGAGAGAGAGCCCTTTTATTTAATCTATGTTTGAGATCATTTTGGTTTGACATTGTTGGTTTACTGTTTAGATTGGACAAGGAACGTATAGCAGTGTGTACAAAGCCAGAGACCTAGAGACGAACCAACTAGTTGCATTGAAGAAAGTGCGGTTTGCTAATATGGATCCAGACAGTGTTAGGTTCATGGCAAGAGAGATAGTCATCCTTCGTAGGCTTGACCATCCTAATGTCATGAAGCTTGAGGGTTTGATTACTTCTAGAGTATCAGGAAGTATGTATCTTATATTTGAATACATGGAACATGATCTCTCAGGCCTTGCTTCAACCCCTGGTGTTAAGTTCTCTGAGGCACAGGTATTATTACTAACTAGTATGAGAGTATATGCAATCATGTGGTTGGTTCTCATTTAACATATTGTGTTTGGTGCAGATTAAATGCTATATGAAACAGTTGCTTCATGGCTTAGAACATTGTCATAGCAGAGGTGTATTGCATCGTGACATCAAGGGCTCTAATCTGCTTCTTGACCATAACAACAATCTCAAAATTGGAGATTTTGGTCTTGCTAATTTTTATGGTGACCACAAGAAGCAGCAGCTTCTTACTAGCCGTGTTGTTACTTTGTGGTACCGTCCACCTGAGCTTTTATTCGGGTCAACGGACTATGGCGTTGCTGTGGATATGTGGAGCACAGGTTGTATTCTAGCTGAACTCTTTTATGGGAAGGCTATCATGCCTGGAAGAACAGAGGTTGAACAGCTACACAAGATTTTTAAACTATGTGGTTCACCTTCTGATGAGTATTGGAAAGGATCTAAACTCCCACATGCCACCGTCTTTAAACCTCAGCAGCCTTACAAAAGGTGTGTAGCTGAGACTTTTAAGAGTCTTCCATCTTCAGCTTTGGCATTAGTGGAAGTTCTTTTAGCTGTTGAACCAGATGCCCGTGGAACCACAGCTAATGCACTTGAAAGCGAGGTAAAAGCTATGAAACACTTCTTGTCTGACTGCTATTAGTAGTGTCTATATATCTTTCTTGTCTCACACTTTTGTTCTTTTCAAATCAGTTCTTTACAACAAAGCCTTTAGCAAGTGACCCATCAAGTTTACCAAAGTACCAACCGAGAAAGGAGATTGATGTGAAGCTTCAAAAAGAGGAAGCAAGACGGTAACATCTTAGATTCTACTTCTATCATAGTATTGACATTAAAAATGGCTCTTATATACCTCTTTATTCACCAGAAAGAAAGGTACAAGCAGTAAGCAGAATGAGTCAAAACAAGCATCTAAAGAATCTAAAGCTGTTCCGGCTCCAGATGCCAATGCCGAGTTACTAGCATCAATACAAGTACGTAAGATTATAGTATTAACAGACATACTTTATGTTTATATGTATTCTTAACCTTTGCTTTATTTTCTTGTTTGTAAAAGAAACGTGAAGGGCAGAATAACCAGACAAGCATGAATGAGAAGGTCAATCCTGATGAAGATGCAGCAGTGAAGGGTGTTATGACGAGGGATTCGAGTCGGTCTCCTCCTCCTAGAAAAGAACTGAGGATGCAACGGTCTTTTGTTCAACGTGGATCAGCACAGTTGACAAAATTCTCAAACTCAGTAGCTGCTAGAGATGCGTCACATTTCGCTATAGCAAATCCACGGTGGTTTGAAGATAGGTACAATAATAAAAAGGGAAAGCAAAACGATGGTGATGGCTCTGAACGTTTGCTGGTTAATAATCCCAAAGACTCTGCAAAAGACAAAGAATCCACTGGTAAGAAGAGAACATCTTGAGCATAACTTTGCTTTGCAGTGAAAATTTTTGTGGGCTAATCACATTTTTGGTTTTTGATGTTTAGGGTGACTGTGAAAAAAACAGAGAGAATGAACATCTCTGGGCCAAGGAAACTTAGATGCAATGTTGAAAGAACATGAAAGAAAGATTCAGTTAAGCTGTTTGAGTGGATAAGAAGACAAATAGGGACAAAGTCAAGCGTCTCTTGATGCAAATGGCATCAGATAAGAATCTTTTGGGAGTTATCAGAAGGAGAAAGAAAGTTTGAGATTTTACAACGTAGAGTCAGTTGATCTTTTGTGTAAAGTTGAAAGCTAAAATTGTGTAATTTATTTGATTCTTCATTATTTGTAATTTTTTTTAACTATTTATGATACGTAGTAATGGTTTTACGTGAGTCTATATAATGAAATGAAATGTTTAGTGGCGGCTATACCAACAAACTTGAATAGAAATGCTTCTTCTCTCTTTGCTTATTGCAGAACCTGAAATTAGCTGCTCTGTCTTTGTCTAAGCATAAACCTAACTTCCTCTTTCATCTCATTAGCATACATATCTAAAACCATTTAGGATTCAAGTTGTTAAATTCTCAAGAACACCAACAAATGAGGACTAGAAACAAGTCAAAGACACGAGCTCAAGCTTCTCCTTGTTTGTCTATTTGACAGCAATTTACACAGCGGGGATGATGGCAAGGAACAGGAAACGGGTGGGAGAGACTGATGTGTTTGTGCATGATGTGAATAAGATAAGTTCTTTAAGGATTTCTTGTGTGAAGGATACATGAAGAAACAAGAAGGAAGACTAAGGCATTTCGTTATCCTTTGCTATAGAGATGGATCAGAATCAGAATCAAATAGACCCTTTTGTCCATAATTGACAACATGTTACCTAACAGTACTCTGATTCTCCTCCAAATCCGAACTATTTGATCTTGCTTACTGTTTTCTACTTGTTCACAGCTTGTACTGAAGAGCCTAGACAAAGCTCGAAGAGTATAAGAAATTTAGAGAAAGTATAAAAATCTGACACTAGTAACTAAATATAAACAAAAAAACCCTGCAAACTCTCAAACCTTCTTCAACTTCTGACTTGTAGTTGAAAGCTTTTCTCACGCTTTTCTTATGAATTCTCTGTGATTCCGAAGGATCTAATAAGTTTATAGTATTGTTTTCGAAATTTCTGTTTGCATTAGGGGTGGGCACAATTACTTGTTACTCGGTTTGTACTCGCTACTTGATTCGTACTTGGCTCTTAAAATCGAGTACTAGTTTTTTCCGAGTAGAGTATCAAGTCGTTTGTTTCAATTACTTACAAGTACAAGACAAGTACCAAGTACTAAAATAAAAATAACTACTTGGCGTTGTTGGCTTGTTACTCGTGATTTATTACTTGATTTATTACCCGTTTTTTATTTTTAGACAAACAAATCTCTAAATTATAATCAAATTACTTGTTTATAAAACAAATAAATTAAAAGTGATATATTATAGAAATATTTTAAAATTTTCTTTTAATTTTATATTTATCATAAATCGATTTAAAAACATATGAAAAGTAAATAGATATTCTTTATTAAAAATTGTTTAGATTATAATTATAATTAAATAAATGTTTTTAAATTCTTATACAAGATTTAAGTAGCAAACGTTAACAAACTTTTATTAAATAATTTATAAATAATTATATAATCATTTATAAATTAGTTGAGATGCAACAAGTAGTAAAACGGAGCAATTACTTGCAAGTATACCATTTTTTAACAAGTACTTGAAAGTGCAAGTACTCGTTTTTAATAAACCAAGTACAAGTCCAAAATTTTATTACTCGAACAAGCCAAGCCAAGTACCAAGTAAGCCAAAAATAGCAAGTACTTGGTTTGTGCCCACCCCTAGCTTGCATTACAATCTACCAATCTCTTAAGCTTTATGATGAATAGTATTTTTTAGGATTCACAAGTTCCAAGAAGAGTCTTTGTGCAGAAAATTAATTAAACATTTTAATCAAATCATTGACCAATCGGCTTCCAGGGGTGGCGGCTCTAAATATAACGAATTTTCCAACTATGGTAACAAAGAAACAAAATAAGAGTCAGTCAAAATCGAAAATTAAACAAAAAATAACAGAATTAAACCGAAACGAACCGACACAGAACCAGAGACTGTTCTCCGAGACCAGATAACATTATAAAAACCCTAATACGTAGTACAATCTTCCTTTTCAACACTCTTGTCTCCGCCTCATTTTAGCTTCCACGAACACACGCCTGGTAAGACATCCATAGATCGAACAAACTCGTAATCTCCAGCTTAGCTTTTTTTTATTGCAAGCTCTCACTACTTTGATGTGTGTTTCCTTAGAAACAGATCCGTTATCAGAAGCACAAGCTTAGCTGGTATATATATCTCCGAGTCTGAGCAATGGCTTTGGTGAGCTTCTCTCTTTGATTAACTCTCACCTTACTATTTACGATCACATCATGTATCGATGCAACGCTGCTTAGATCATTTGTCTAGTTTAATCTATTCGATTTAGGTCTGAACATATATATAAGAGTTTTTAAAGTGTTAATCTCTGTAGGGGCATAGAAAAATCATTATATTACTGAATCTTGCTATGTTTACATCAGGTCATGCACTCGTACAAGGGAAACAAAAACTCTGACAAGGCATTCATTGCCGCAGAGTTCACTGGTGTGAAGATCGACATGCCTTCTGACTTTGAGATGGGTGTCACCAACAAAACCCCTGAGTTCCTCAAGATGAACCCTTTGGGAAAGGTGTTTTTCTTTTTTTTAATATCTGTTTTGCTGTTTTTAATCTTTTTGAGTCTTTGCTTATACTAATAAGTAGTAGCTGTTTTGTCTTTTTTGCTAGATTCCTGTACTTGAGACTCCTGAGGGTCCTATATTTGAGAGCAACGCCATTGCCCGTTATGGTAAGAAGAATCTTTCTCCTCTCTTAATGTCTGTTTTACTTTCTCTTTGTCATTTTGGGTATAAATGGATGTGTTTGATATAATATTGCAGTAAGCAGATTGAACGGTGAGAACTCCTTGAACGGATCCTCCCTCATCGAATATGTAAGTTCTTGTTTTTTCCCCGGAGCTTCTCTAATCGGATTGCTCTCTGTTTTTTTAATATATTGGTTTGTATTCTCAATGTTTTTACTTTTGCAGGCACATGTTGAGCAATGGATTGATTTCTCTTCATTGGAGATTTATGGAAACATCTTCAACTGGTTCGTCCCAAGAATGGGCTTTATGCCATACAGTGTTCCCGTAAGCTTTCTCTTACTTTTCCTTTTGATCACAATCTACGTACACTCTTCCATTATATCTGATTGTTTTAGGGTGAGGAAGCTGCGATCTCTGCTTTGAAAAGAGGACTTGATGCTCTGAACACACACCTCGCTTCCAACACTTACCTTGTTGGACACTCTGTTACCCTTGCTGATATCATCACTGTCTGCAACTTGAACTTGGGATTCTCCACTGTCATGACCAAGAGCTTCACCTCTGCATTCCCTCACGTTGAGAGATACTTCTGGACTTTGATCAACCAACCAAACTTCAAGAAGGTGGTGGGTGATGTTAAACAAACTGAAGCTGTTCCCCCAATCAAGAAAGCTGGCCAGCCTGCAAAGCCCAAGGAGCAGCCTAAGAAAAAGGAAGCCCCTGCAGCAGAGGCACCTAAGCCTGTCGAAGAAGAAGAGGCACCAAAGCCTAAAGCAAAGAACCCTCTTGACTTGCTACCACCAAGCCCAATGGTTCTTGATGAGTGGAAGAGGCTTTACTCCAACACCAAATCTAACTTCCGGGAGGTTGCTATTAAAGGTATGTGTGGTGATATCTTCTCTTCACCTAGTCTTATAATGAATTGTTTTGCTTATGGAATCGTGGCTCAATGCAGGATTCTGGGACATGTATGACCCAGAGGGATACTCACTATGGTTCTGTGACTACAAGTACAACGACGAGAACATGGTATCCTTTGTCACGCTCAACAAGGTAGGAGGGTTCCTTCAGCGAATGGACTTGGCACGTAAATACGCCTTTGGAAAGATGCTAATCTGTGGATCAGAGGGTCCCTTCAAGGTGAAAGGTCTGTGGTTGTTCCGTGGAACAGAGATCCCCAAGTTCGTAATGGACGAGGTGTATGACATGGAGCTCTACGAGTGGACCAAGGTTGACATCTCCGATGAAGCTCAGAAGGAACGTGTTAGCCAGATGATTGAAGACGCAGAGCCATTTGAAGGTGAAGCTCTCTTGGATGCCAAGTGCTTCAAGTGAAAAAAAACATAATTGGTTTTGTTTGATACTACTCCGTAGTGTTCTTGCTCTATGACTTTTGTTTTGATATCTTATGTGATTGCTTATACTGTTTTTTTCTTAATTTATACTTGTTCTTGTTAATGTTTCTATTTTGACTTCATTTTAATATGTTATATGGCACAGTGTTGTTATGTTAAACTCTGAGGAAAAAATAACCATTCCATGTGACCATAGAAGTCTAAGAGAGATACATTTATACACTCAATTTGAAGCACCAACTAATAGCAATCATTACAAGAACTAAAACAACGAACATCATTACACACACCACCAAACTCCAAGATCCGTCTCTGTGCGTCATAATCAAGGGAGCTTAGCATATTCCAAACCAAAAAAGACAATGGGAGGAGAAAGTGGTAGACATATAATACCCCAGAATCCAAACAGGTTCATGAGGAAACATACCAACGTCAAGATCCCGAAGAAAATAGCCATCTCTTCGAGAATCCTATAGTGTGGAGTAAAGAACTGCGTGGAATCAGTAGTGGCCACGTAGTAGGAATATAGATTGCGAAACGTGAGATAAGTAGACGCATTCATGGCAGCAAAGAGACCCATCATCGATCGGAAACTTACTTTCCAGATCTGAAAGCTAGCCAAATCGATGATCTCAGGTTTCCCTTCTCGGAAAAGAATCACCAGCAGAAAGAAGAGAGTCACTTGCAGGAGGATATGATATGTGGCCGCGAGTTTCTTGAAAACGTCTTCCGACCATACGATTGCGTAACTGAATCCATAGTCGTTCATCATTTTTACAAAAGGAGACTGAGGTTGAAGAAGAAGAAGAAGAGACTGAGGAAACTAATCGGCGAGCTGTTTTGTGCTTTTTAAGGTTTGATCAATAAAAAAAGTAGAGAGATGGGTCGCCGTTGATGATTTTTAAAATCGACGGTCGTGGAGACAAGGGAATCTTCATGTCTGAAGGTCGGGCATGAATTACCGACGTGTCACTTATTGGGTTTTGGTTTAATTAAGCGCAACGAAAGACTAACCTCACTTGCAAACTAATTTTCATTTTGGTATTATCAAATAAATCTTTTTATAATGTTAAAAATACATAATAAAACATAAACTGATAAACAAATGAAAAATCTGTTAACAAATTATTACGATTTAGTTTAGTCATGAATATTTATCTACATGCATAAGTTTTCAAAAAAATTATCAGTTATATTTTTGTAAATCCAAACTAGTAATAATTTAATATTGATGATAAAAATAAAATATATCAAAACTATAAATAATTTTACAAAATATTATAAATTCAAGACAATAAACCAAATAAGTATAGCTAACAAAATTAATTGAAATTTTTTAACCTATTTACATTATAGTTAGATTAAAATGTAATTTAATATACTGAAAAACAGTTAAATCGATCAAATTCTTATCTTTGTCAAATCTTACATACATATAAATTATAAAATCATTTAAAAAATTAGAAAATAAAAACAAAATATTAAATTTGTATTATAAATTAGGTGTGTATGTGTTGACAAAAAAAAGAAGAAAATCATGTATGTATGTATGATGTATTTAATTACATATTTATTTAGGTGGGTCTCATAACAAATGAATTGTTCTTAATCAAAAAGTTGAATCTTCTTATCACACGAATCTGTTCTTTGCTAAAGCTCAAGCTCAAGCTCGATCCCTCTTTGCGTGCTAGCAAAGCCTCATCGGTAAAGAGATCGAAAGAGGCAGAAGGACGGATTAGTGATTAAAGGTATAGAGAGAAAGATGAGAGAGACCTCAGCGAGTGGTCTTTCATGGCGGCGTGTGTTATTCTTCGCTTCGATTACTCTGCACTTCGTCTTAGGTTCGTCTTTCTCCAGATCTAATCTGATTTTAGTTTTCAAAGGCCTTAGCTTTATGTCTAATTGTAGCTGAAGCTCTTTCTAGATTTCGTTTAGGCATAAAGGTTACGTCTTTGCTCTTTCGTGATTAGGATTGAAACATGTAGAGATAGGGAGGACTGTATATATCTGTGTTATTAGATCTTGAGCAACTTTAGAAACTTGGCCACAAATAATACTACTAAAACAGTAAACTTGTTCTTTAACATGATGTTTAGTGAAAAGAACATGTTATCGTTCAGTTCATGGGATTGGTTTTGCTATTTTGAAGAGCTTGTCTGCAAAGTCTATTACTTTTTCTAGGAGGGATTTTACTTTTGTTCTTGTAAAGTCTACTGTTTTTGTATAGATCATGAGCAACTTCATTGTGTCGCTGCATTTGTGTAACGATGAGATATCGTAAAGTGATCATCTTTTTGATGTGTAGCCATGTTCTGTGAAAGAATAATGATAATCCTGCAGATTCTGTGTTATGATTGTTGCAGTTGATGTTCTATGTGTGTAGTTATTTCTCCTCGTTTATAGGCTAAGATGGCATCTATTGTCTTTGTTCAGGTCTATCGGGAGATTCCAAGAATGCAAATACAGGAGCTAAAGCAGAGTCTCACACTTCTTCAAGCGGAACAGGGACAAAAGTTATCCTCATACTGGTCGGATTGGTGGCTGTAGCTGTGTTCTCCTTCTTTCTATTCAAGTTATGGCAGAAGAAGAAAAGAGACGAGCAGTATGCTCGACTGTTGAAACTCTTTGAGGAAGATGATGAACTCGAGGTTGAATTAGGCCTTCGAGATTAAACACAAAAATACAATTTGTCAACAAAATGCCTTGGGTATATTTGTTTGTATTGGCATGTTCTTTTACATGTAAGATAAAATAGATTCATTCAACTCCAAAGACACATTAAGGAAATTTATATCTTTGGTTTCAAACTTACAAAAGTTGCATGATTCATAAAGAGATTACATTTCATAAAACACCATTATTAAGTTTATTACGCAGTGGTTATTGGTCATCTCTGCTAAAGCCAACAAAAATGTTCAACAATAAAGAATAAACTTAATGACAGGGAAAAAAAAATTAATTGAAGAGTCTCAAACGTTAATTAGAACATTGTCACCTCCCAGATAGATAAGAGCAATGCATAGAGGCCTTTTCTCTTGCCCACACGACCATGCCATTTGAACTTGATCATCACTTGAGTAAAAATCTTTATTGTCCAGTCTTGGCACGCTTGCTGTTGAAAGGGGACATACTCGGACTCAAACAAGGGCTCAAGCTCAGACTTGGACTCTCCTCTCTTAGCGTACCATTCAAAGCCGCTAACTCCTTCAGCTGTTCCCTTTTGTAGTGGTCCATTGATTCATCCTGTAGAGAGAAAAACAAAACATGTGAACACAAAGTTTGGAGTGTAAAACCAGATAGAGATGTTTGTTTTCTTTGTGTGCAAAGAATGTACCATTGGCATTAGGAGGGACTCGAGGAAATGCACTGCATGCTCTAATCGAGAGTGTATTATGTCCTCTGGAAGCTCAGCTTCGATCAGTATATGTAGTGGCTCGCAGAGATGCTCGTACCCTGGCTTACCTTTGAGCTTCTCCTCCTGCAGGGAAGTATAAAGACTAAATGGATGAGCCTTGAAACCACATGAAAGATTAGGTACGAGAAGAGACATCCAATAAAGAAACTTTCAGATTTCAAATGTCTTCCAATGTGAAAGTAAGTGTGGGTTAATATATGCAGGAGAAAATGTATCATAACTTCAATAAGATCTTGCCATTGTGAAAGAAGGTTTCGTGGAACCTTATTCAAGAATATTCAATACATTGCCATAGAGCAGCTTGACAAGTTAACATATGAGAAAATGAAGTTATGAACTGTACGAAGTCATCTACATTTGCAATTGAAAGAGTGACGAAATGGGATGATAGAGAGAATCAATAACCAAGGAACCATACCTTGACAGTATCCTTCACAGATCCTCGTCCTCTAATAAACACCCTACAGTGTGTTGCTAGCTCAACTCTCTTCAGAGAGTTCCCACGTGGCCCAAGAATCCGCCCAACAAAGTTATACTGCCAGGTTCAATGGATTTAATTCAAGATCATTCCACTGGCAATACCATATTGACTATAAATTAACTTACGGTTGGAAATTTGTCCACAGGCACATCAAGCCTAATAATTCTTTTCACAATGGGTGGGGCGTGGAGTCCTGGCATACCACCCCAGCCCACTGGAGGAGGAGCACGAAATGGTGAACCTCTCTGGAGATGAAAATTTTCCTGAAGAAAGCAAGCAAGCAATACAACAACAAAAACCCATTACTGACATTAGAATACTTAGCAGCACAATCACTAGTCAACATGAGTATGATATATGATGCCATACCTCTCCTTGCATCATTGACCATCCGTCCAAATCAAGCTTTCCATTTGCCGGCTGGCCAATCGATCTAAATGGACTGCCATTATCACACCTATCAAAATCAGACAAACTGGAAACCCTCCTTATCTCTGCAACAAACACGACCAATGAAAGCGTTAAATATTACAAAAGAAAAGTACAGCACTTGAACATCAAGGGCAATGCATCTCAAGTAGAGAAAACAAAAACTCACCTTGATTAAGTAGTCTGCAGCAATGTGGCATAACTTGCAGAAAAGGAGCCAACTTTTGTCTCTCTTGCAATAAATCACCCAAGTACCTGAATAAAGTATTAAAGAAATGTGACTGTAAGTTCCAATGAATACTGCAGTTCTGTCCAATGGCTCAAGTTGGAATCAATGCAGCACACATTTATCATAAAGGAATCATTTTTAACACTCATCAAATCAAAAGCACAAAACCCACCAATCATCTCTACACACACATTTCAATTTGCTACTAACTCAACAAGTCCACAAAAATCTACTTTGATCCAACAAAGATTCACACTTTTAAGGAGAAAGCTTCGTAAGAAGAGAGAAAGTTTAAACCTTTCACGATTAGAGGGAGGACAAGGGGATCGATTGGGAGAAGGAGCACGGAATCCACCAGAGAGAGGAAACTGGAAGAAACTTCCCGGAGGAGGGATAGGGATCCTCTCTTCCATCGCCGTGAAGCCAGCGCCGGATTCCATCATATCTGCTGCCACGTTCTGTACATTCATCAAAAGCTCAGATTGTTTCACAATGGAGTTATGAGAAATGTGCAAAAAAAGTGTGAGAGCAGAGACTGACCAGGGATAGTGGAGAGAAGATGCGGCGGAGGATCTGGCGCCGATCTGAAGGTGATGAAGCTCTCTCTGTCTTCGTCAGAGAAGTAGGTTTATGTGGACTGTGTAGAGAGTGGCCACAGAAAGAAGAAGAAGAAGTAGGGGAGAGTCAAAAGCCCTACGCACTATGTGAGAGAGAGAGACTCTCGCCGCTTTTTTTCTAATTTCTTGTTTATTCTGTTATTTTTTTATATGGGCTTTCACATATATGGGCCTTTGGCGACTATCAATTGGTATCAATTACATTGGAAAAGTGAATGACCTACTATATGAATAATCTTAAGAATTTTTCTCATGCCAAGCATAAGAATCTTTTTTTTTTTTCAAGCATAAGAATCTTAGTATATGATTGGTTAGTTCGGTTCGATTAGGTAAGTTTATTTTAGATGTTCAGTTTTTGGTTCGGTTTAGCAAATGGTTATTTTGGTTTTCAATAAAAACTTTTATAACCAAACCATACCAAAACCCGAATCAAACTAATCAAATTTAATCGAACTTACTCGTAATTTTAATAACATTAAACCACAATATTGGGAGGGATTTTCAAAAATCAAACTAACCGAATACCGAACAAAAAGTTATTTCGGATTAATTTAGTAATATTTATGTTAAACCGAACTATCTGAAAACCAAACTACCCAAACCAGCATGTCTAACAGTGATCATGTTCCTCCAGTAACATCAACCACCATATATAGTTCAAGGTTCAATGTGTTAACACATAAATGTAAGGAATAGTGGATCAATGTAACAAAAGGATGGGACAACAACCGTAACAATTTTGTGAGGAGATGCTTAACATCTAGTTGTAAAGGTGTGCGCTATTACTCATACAAACAACTAAATAGATATAGTCAAGGATAGAACTTCGAACTGGTAACAGAAGACAGATTGAGAAAATGAAAGTTTATAATCGAGACAAAATCCTGCTTCTTTGTGTCTGGAATGCATATCAAAGACAGTGTAATTGTAGCTAAAACGCATGAAGAACACTCAAATTCGCAAACGAAACTGCCAAAAAGTCTGAGCAAAACACTGGTGGTAAAAAGAGGAAAACTAATAGCCTCCCTTGAGATCGTTGACGACATCGTAAGGGATGGGAGTGACTGTCTCCAAGGTCATACCTTCAACCATGAATCCTGGTTTAGGTCCTTTAGGCTGCCTCTTGGTGCTTATTGTCTCACCTTTGGCTTTGGCTGCAGCCTTGAGCTCATCGTTCTTCTTCTTCCTCAGCTTGAACTCCTCTGCGCACCTTGACTGCTGCACATGCTCCACACGCACATGAAGCCTCTTCCTGATGATTCTGTTACCAATCTGAAACGCAACAAGTACACATGTCAGTAATCACGTTACCCAACCAAGATTAATAGACACTAATAGCACTTAACACTAAACCAAATGTTATAATCATGAAACTAAATGACACTTTGCAATAACCATGAAGCCAAACAAATAATCAAATCACGAATCCGATAAATAGAAATACTTAAAATCCAAAAGAGGCTTATTACAACATTGCATTAATCATGAATCTAATGTTAGTAGCAAATAGCAAATAAAACAATCCGATCAATAGAAACACTTAACCAACTAAACTCAAATCTTAATTAAAAAATACGATTTTTATCACTGTGTCGGAATCACGACAAGAAGCTCTTAAGTAGCAGATAAGATACATTAGAAGTAAGTTCTTTCGTTCAGACCTGTTTGTTGACTTCGACACCAACAGCACGTTTGGTAACGTTCCAGACACGACCGGTACGACCATGGTAGAACTTGTGGGGCATACCCTTGTGGATCGCACCGTTCACTTTCACATCAACGTAATCTCCGACCTTGAAGATCCTGAGGTAAGTGGACAATGGGATTGTACCCTTCTTCCTGAACCCTCTGGCGAACAGATCTCTTGTCCTAGCGCGAACTCCATGTCCTGCCGGCATTTTCTCCTCTTGGTTTTGATGTGAGAACTAAAAACCTTAAAACGCCGAAGAAGCAAAATGATATCGTCAGTGAGTATATTTATATGTCTTAAATTAGGGTTTTCTATTAATGGGCCTGTTGGGCTTAACTGCCATATGTGTCTATTTGATTCAAAGAAAGTTTTTAATTAATTAAAATAAAACCCCTATATTCTTAATGCTTGTACGTTTTGGCTTAAAACTAACATAAAACTTAATTACACCCAGACTATCTGATTCTGAAGCATCTCTGAAGATGGCATTGTCCTAATACCTAATCTTACAAGGCTTATACAGTGAGATATAGTGTGGTTGAAGTAATGAACTCATTCATCTTAATACTACAACAAAGAAACAACACTTTTAACAGACCAAAAGGTGTTTTTATCACTTCTCTTTAACATGTCAATAACAATTATAAATTATAAAAATGGCTATGATAAACAACTACAATACCACACTCACAGAAGACAGACTTATGCTTGGCTTGCTTCCGTCTCCACACTCACAAATGCTGCTGCCTCATTAAACCCATTCATGCACGAAGTAGGATCCAGGTTTAGTGGTTTCTCAACATTCTCTGCCTGATCGTTTTGACAATGCTCGGTGGTAGATTGAGGAGGGATGATGGTACTATCTTCAAGTTCCTTAGCTGCGACTTTGCGCTTTCCTTTCCTAGCCTTTTTCTTGAACTGAGCCCTCCTGGCTTTTGGAGTTTTGATGGTTTCTTTCACTGGACTTGCTACCTCTACTGTCTTCTTCTCACAAGGAAGTACAGTAAGCTGAGTGCTGTGGTTGGCAAGGTCAATTTTGGATTCTGACTGGATCGCTATAAGAGCTGTTCTTCCAGCGCTTATCTCAGCCTCTCTTTTGGTTTTTGTTGCAGCTCCTGTGTACTTTATGCCTCCGATCTCTACAGTACATGTGTATTGTGGAGCTCTCCCGGTAGTCTCGCTCTTTTGGCATTGATACAATGGAATCGCGTAGTTCATCTTCTGAGCATACTCTTGAAGAAGGTTCTTGCATAGACCCATTTCGTGCTGCATTACGAAACCATTCAAGAGTTAATGCACATAACATACAGAAAGAGCCTAAGAATCTGGCCTTCTAGATGTTTTTTATGCACATTAATATGATAAGATTTCAACCGGTAAACTCCATCTTTACTCAAGTTATCAAAGAACTACACCAAGTTGATTAACGAGTTGAATCTTTAAGCTCTCAAGTATAGATCATTGCCCAAACCAAGACCCTCCACAAATACCCCTAACACATTCTAATAGCTACCCTCTAAACCTTCAACTTTCAAACTAGCTATAAGGTATGTTTCTGAGCTAACAATGCTACAATTTCCTATTTCCTATAGTCATGTACAGTACTAGACTTGATCAGAATCACAAGATAAGAAAGATGAGGTGCTTACAACAGGTAGTGAAACACATTGGCCTAGCTCACTGGACTTAGCTAACTCCTGAAGAGCAACCTCAGCAGCTGATTGCTCAGCAGCCTTACGGTTAAAAAATCCAGGCAAGGAATCATATCTGACACCATCGACTATCACTGTGGACTGAAACAAAGATTTGTGTGAAGGGCCTTCTTTGACAGTCTCATAAATAGGCGTTGGTAGCTTGTATTTCTGAGCATATTCCTGTAACCGGCTTTTGAACACATAACAATTCGAAACACCTGAGAAGAAAAAAAAATCAAAATCATAGTTAAGTAGCATTTATTCAAACTAAAACGCTATTATAAAAACCAGAAGAGCAATGAAAACCCTAAAGGTAAAGGCAAGTATAAAGGTGAAGACTTTCTCCATGAAACTATAACTAACCTAAAAGCAATGAAGGAGATTCAATTGGCAAATGTAAAGCTGAAGACTTTCTCAAACAAAAACCATAAACATAGAAGAGAGAATCAAATTAATATAATATTGCAACTTAGCTTTCATAACATTATCTCAAAAAGGGTAAACTTTAGCAATACTCATATAAGACCAATCACATCCAGAAGAAGATAAAGACAAAACCAAAGTTTGAATTCTATGCTTGAAGGGAAGATAAGCTTTTTAACTAATCAAACTGATTTTTACATGAAGAAAGGGATCGAGGAGGAACTTATAAGGAGAAGAAGCATGAAAATTAAAAACACAGAAAGGAATAAAAAACTAAAGAAGAAGAGGGTTTCACCAGAGGGAACTTCGTTCGCAGTCATATTGTGGAGCAGAATGTTAGCTGAAGAGGTCGAAGAATGTTTAGTTGAGCACCGAAAAAGATGCTTACTAGTCGGCAACAGAGTGATGTTGCTAGAAACCCCAGAGAGCACATTATTTAACACACACAAAAAAAAAAAAAAAAAAAGTCCTCACCTGTTGGNCACCTTTTATACTAGGTGAACAAGACGAAGGTTGTTACGGAGAGAATAATCTCCTGCGACGCACCTTCACCAACTCCCGGGCCTATCATCACTTAACGCAACAGCCCAACAGTATAATCTGTAACTGACCCATAGCAATTCGTAATGGGCCAAGGCCCAAACGTGATACGCGACACGAGTTCGAACACCACAACTCACAATCTCCACCTTGGTGTCGAAGCTCTGTCTGTCGGAAACTGGCTACCCTCCGAGAAATACTATCTCTGTATCCGACTTGAGACCTTAATCCACAACTCACTATGGCACTCCCGATCCTGGCAACCCGGTTCTTTTGTCCTCACTTCGAACCCCTTCATCTCTCTGACTTCCGAGACGAAACCCTACATCCTAGTCGTCTTCTCAGTTCCAAAGCCGACTAGCCCTGACACTGATTCAGGCTTCAATGACGCTTAGCTTGGCTAAGCACCCTTCAAACTTCTCACCAGGTAACACTTTCGTTAACATATCTGCCGGATTCACAGACGTATGAATCTTTAGAACCTCCACCACACCATCTGCGATAATGTCTCTCACGAAGTTGTACTTAGTAGCAATGTGTTTAGTCTTCTCCCTGTAAATGAAGTTCCTTGCTAAGTAAATGGCACTTTGTGAATCGCAATTCACCTCAACTTGTCCGTATCCTAGCTTCAGCTCTTCACAAACACCTTTTAACCAGATAGCTTCTTTTACTGCATCTGACAGGGCCATATACTCCGCTTCCGTTGTTGACAGCGCCACCACCTTCTGCAGTGATGACCTCCAGCTGACTGTGTTACCTCCGATGGTGAAAACGTAGCCTGTGATCGATCTGCTTCTATCTCTATCCGTTGCATAATCCGAATCACAATATCCTCGTATCTTGAAGTCGTCGCCTTGACTGAAAGTTAAGTTTAGTTTCAATGCTCCTCTTATGTATTTCATGATCCATTTAACTGCTAACCAGTGTTCCCTTCCAGGCTTGCTCATATATCTGCAAACTAAGCCCACAGCATACGCCAGATCCGGTCTTGAACCCACCATGGCGTACATAAGACTTCCAACGGCACTTGAATACGGTACGTTTTCCATTGCTCTCGCCTCTTCTAACTCTTGAGCCTTAGGAATAGCTTGAAGTTTGAACTGTGACCCTAGTGGTGTACTCACCGCTCTGCACTCCCACATCCCAAAAGTTTTCAAAACCTTTGCAAGATATTCGTTCTGTGACAAATATAGCTTCCCTCTAGGCCTGTCTCTGATGATATCCATACCCAGAATCCTTCTAGCTGCTCCCAAATCTTTCATTTCGAACTCACTGCTTAGTTGAGCCTTTAAGTTCTGAATCCTATTCATCTCCTTTGAAGCTATTAACATGTCATCTACATAAAGAAGTAGATAGACCATGTCTTCCATCTTTGTACCCTTAAGGTAAATACACGGGTCATACTCACTTCTCAAGTATCCCTGCTTGACCATGAAAGTGTGAAACCGATAGTTCCACTCTCTAGGAGACTGTTTAAGTCCGTATAGAGACTTTCTTAAGAGGCAAACCATTCTTTCCTTTCCTTCTTTCAAGTATCCCTCGGGTTGCTCCATATACACGCGCTCCTTTAAAATGCCATGAAGAAATGCCGTTTTAACGTCTAGCTGCTCCAGCTCCAAGTTGTAACGAGCCACAGCAGACAATAGCAGCCTTATTGAAACATGTTTGACAACCGGGGCAAACACTTCGTTATAATCCACTCCTTCAGTCTGCGCATATCCCTTAGCTACGAGCCTCGCTTTATGTCTCGGCTTCTCCACCCCTGGGATCCCTGGCTTGTATTTATATATCCATTTACACCCGATGACCTTGTGTCCTTTAGGCCTCTCAGTGTAATCCCATGTGTGATTTCTTTCCAGAGAATCCATCTCCTCATCTGAGGCCTCACTCCACAACTTCCAGTCTTTACTTTGAACTGCTTCTGAATAGCTTTTCGGTTCGTCTTGATCTAAATCCTCAGCTGTTGCAAGTGCATATGCTATAAAGTCAGCATCTTCGAATCTAGACGGTGGCTTTATAGTTCTTCTTTCTCTGTCTCTTGCTAACAGATACGTATCCAAGTTCGTATTCTGATTATCTTCTTCTGAAGCATCCTCTGAATCACTATCCACCTTCTCTGGGATTTTATTTGATGTTTCCTGTTCCTTATTTGTGTTCTCTGAATTTGCTCCACCTGAACTTGACCCTTCTTCATAGTAGTTTTCTAAGTTGTCACTGAATGTGACCCTCTTCTTTCGCTGCTCTTGACCCTGTGCTTCGGCTTCAGTTTCATTTTGTAGATCCTTGAACATCTTACACTCATCGAACACAACATCCTTACTGATTACAACCTTCTGCTCTTCAATTAGCCATACTCGGTAGCCTTTCACACCCTGTCCATATCCCAAGAGAACTCCTTTCGAGGCTCTTGGACTTGTTTTATCTTTTACTTGATGTACGTAGGATATGCAACCGAAGCTCCTTAGATGATCATAACTTGGCTTCTTCCCTGACCACTTCTCCTCAGGTATCTCAAACCTGATTGAGGCGTTAGGTGACCTGTTGATGATGTAGACCGCAGTTGCAGCTGCTTCTGCCCAAAAACTCTCATCCAACCCTGACTCACTTAGCATAGCTCTGACCTTGTCCATGATGGTTCTGTTCATACGCTCAGATATGCCGTTTTGCTGTGGAGTGTAAGGACATGTTTTATGTCTTCTTATTCCTGAATCTCTGCACAGAGAATCCATCCTTTGGTTACAAAATTCAAGGCCGTTGTCAGACCTTAGACATTTGATCCTTTTGCCTGTTTGATTTTCAACCAGAATCTTCCAACCTGCAAAACAAGAAAACACCTCATCTTTAGTTTTGAGAAAATATATCCATACCTTTTTGGAGTAATCATCAGTAAATGTTAGGAAGTAACGAGCCCCTGATAAGCTCTCTTTTGTATTTGGAGATCCCCATAGATCGGTGTGAATGTACTCCAGGATTTCTTTTGTTGTATGTTTAGCCTTAGGAAATTTCTGCCTGTGTGATTTCCCTAATACACACGCCTCACAGAACTCCAATTTTCCTATCTCCTCCTTCTTAACATATCCCTTTCTTGCCAGTGTCTCCATTGATCTGATATTCATGTGACCTAGCCTTGTGTGCCATTTCTTTGTCTGATCACTAACTCCCTGAGCTGAATTTACTTCAGCCTTTCTCACAGTTCCTTGAAGGTAGTATAAGCCGTTGATGTATTTTCCTGTTAAGACTCTCCTCTGCCCTTTGTAGAACTCCACTTCAAAGTTGCTCCCTTGATACCAGCACCCAGCAAGTTCTAATTGCCCATAAGAGATTAGGTTCCTTCCCATGTCTGGTATGTATCGTACATTGTTCAACACAACAGCCGTTCCATCATGATTTTGTATCGTAATCTTCCCTATCCCTTTCACCATGCAATAGGTATTATTTCCCATCATGACCTTGCTTCCATCAAATCCTTCGAACTCAGATAGCAAATCTCTCCTTGGTGTAATATGAAAGGTGCAACCTGAGTCCATTATCCATTCATCTCCTGAAGAATACAAGCTCGCAGTTAGAGCAATAGGACCTGGTAGCTTAGACGCCACATTCGCAGAGTTGTTTGCCTTCGACGCCTGTTGGTTCTTCCTTTCTGGACAATCCCTTTTCCAGTGACTCTCGCTTCCACATATCCAGCAGGCCTTGTCTGGTTTTCCCGTAGACCTTCCCCTAGATTGGGACCTTCCTCTGCCTTTGTGTTTACTCTGCCATGGCTTTGAATTTCCCGAGTCACTTCTGTTGTTTGATCTTCCTCTTCCCTGTGTGTAGAGACCTTCTGATTGCTTCCCTTTCGAGCTCATGCCTTTCTGTTTTAACTCCACCTCCTTGGAGTAAGCAGAAGCCATTACTTCACTTACTGTGAGCGTATCCTTCCCTGTTCCATACTGTAGTGTGTGAACAAGAGGCTCATAAGCTTGTGGGAGCCCTGACAAGAGTTGTATTGCCTGGTCTTCATCAGATATGGCAACTTTAATGCTAGCCAAGTCGTCTATCAACTTCAGGAACAGATCAAAATTTTCCTCCATTGTCTTTTCTTCCTCCATACGGTAACAAGAGAATTTCTTCTTGAGGTAAATCCTGTTTAGAAGCGACTTGGTTTGGTAATCCTTCTCCAAAGCCTTCCACATTCCCAGTGCTGTGCGCTCATGCATAATCTTCCTCAAGATTACATCGCTTAGGCACGTGCTAAACAAGCTTCTAACTCGTAGATCCTTCTCTGCCTTCTTTGGCTCTTTCTTATCATCTGCACTTGATTCCTTTGCCGAATCATCAACATCGTCAGATGATTCCTCCTCCAAGACGGAGAGTAGTCCTTGAATTTCCAATTGAGCTAGCATCTTGAACTTCCAAAGTCCGAAGTCCCCCTTTCCATCAAACTTCTCGATCTCGAATTTTCCCGGTGTTGGATCCATCGTCTGATGTATAGATCCTTCTCTGAACTTGTTACCTGCAGATAACAAAGATCACACACTCACTAGCAAAACTGAACTTTATCAATCTAGAACTAGGTTTACTAAGTTCTTTTCCTAAACCGTTTCTAGATCTTGGATCTATTCAAGTAAGAGTACTCCCTTATACGAATGATGAGCAGATCCACGAGTTGTTGTATATCTAATTCCTTGATCCTCCTTCTTGCGATCTGATCGAATCCTCCTTATCGCTCAAGCTGAGCTCTGATACCAATTGTTGAAGATATCGATCTATCTCCTATGGTTTCTTGTTGTAATTCGTTATCGTCTCTTTGCGCAGGTTCGCGACTCCGTTGCAAGATTGATACGAATGCTAGAAGATAAACGAAGAAAGAAAGAGAGATTGCACGCAAGACGTTTTAGAGTTCCCTGTCTAACCGACGAGGTACGTCTCCTTCAGGATCGGAACCTGGANCACCTTTTATACTAGGTGAACAAGACGAAGGTTGTTACGGAGAGAATAATCTCCTGCGACGCACCTTCACCAACTCCCGGGCCTATCATCACTTAACGCAACAGCCCAACAGTATAATCTGTAACTGACCCATAGCAATTCGTAATGGGCCAAGGCCCAAACGTGATACGCGACACGAGTTCGAACACCACAACTCACATTACCGGTCTCCTTTTTACTTACACACACGGTATCGCTGTAAGAACACTTCATCTCTCTCAACAACTCTAGCGTTTTCTTAAAGTTGATTCCTTTATCCTCGTTTTCAACAGAATCAAACACACGAAGATGGTTGATACTTCTACCACTGGAAAAAGCAAGAACAAAACCATTACTGAAGGAGACATCGCCACGCTTTTACAGAGGTAAAAATAATCCGTATCTTTATAAAAAAGTTGATTTTTTTTTGCTTTTGACTTAAGTTCAGTGTTATTAATAATGGTAGATATGATGCAACGACGATACTGAGATTACTACAAGAAATGTCCTTTTATTCCGATATAAAGATGGACTGGAACGAGCTTGTTAAGAAGTCAACCACTGGGATCACCAGTGCTCGTGAGTATCAGTTGCTGTGGCGACACCTTTCTTATCGTGATCCTCTTCTCCTCCTCCCTGTGGAACATGATGCTATTGTACTTGCTCCTCTCTGTCTAGTCTCTCTTCATTTTTGCTTTTCAGTTAAAATATTGATCTTTCTTTCCTTGTGTAGGATGATGATAGTGACATGGAGTGTGAATTGGAAGCTTCCCCACAAGTCAGTCTTGAAGCATCAGTGGAGGCTAAGGCATATGTGAGGGTAAGAAGGGAATATATAAGATAGAGTGTGTCATGTTTGTTAGTTGCTTCAATTCAATGTTCTTTGTCGCCAGGTGATGGCTGCTTATTATGTGCCAAGTGGGTGTGAAAACACAACATCTGAGGCTCCGTTAACGATAAACATACCTTACAGTCGTCTCCCTGAGGGGATTCAAGAACCAACAGAGACTCCATGTGGGAAGAACATCACTTTTCCTGTTCGTCTGCAGAAAGTGTCATCTCCCGAGATGGCTTCTCAGCAGAAGAGGAAAAGATGGTCTGTTAAGGAGGATGAGGAGCTGCTTGCCGCTCTGAAGCGTTGTGGTCAAGGCAACTGGACACGTATCGCTCAAGGAGAGTTTAGTGGAAAGAGAACCGCTTCCCAACTCTCGCAGGTTGTCTTTCACTTACCTTCCCTAATGAGCCAGCACTGTGGTACTAATATATATTGTGATTTAGTCTGGTCTAGATGTGGGGTTCGAAGGCCGGCAATAGATTCTTTGGATTATATTATTTATAGTCGTTTGTGTTATATATACCGTTTCTCTTTAGTAGTGGTAACAATCAGACTATTATATTTGCAGAGGTGGGTGTATATAAGACGAAGGTGTGGTGTTTCAACCTCTGCTAGCCAATCTAGCCAACAACAAACTGAGACGCTAGCAGCTAACCATGCGTTATCTTTGGCTCTGGATAACAGCCTCCCTTCAAAGAAATTTTCAGTAGGTAAGAGAAGTAGACCATAATATAACAGATGAGGCTTTAGTTTGGTTACCACTGGCTATGATATTGTCTGTTTTAAATGGGTGAGGTTTGTAGCTATAAATATTTGCTTCATTTTGTTACAGATGTTTCGCCAGGGACTTCATCTTGTACCATCAAAGAAACGCAGGAGAATAAGGGGAGTTCTTCTCAAGGTCAACAACAGTCCAAACCAATTGTTCTAGCATTGGCTCGGGCTTCAAAATCTCGAGTTGGTGGTAGAAGAACAACAGCGAGGTCAACTTTCAGGTTGAGTTTAATGGTAACAGCTAATTCAGCTGCTGCTGCGGCATGTATGGGTGGCGTATCACCTTTTGCATCAGTCCCAAAGGTCGAACCTGGAAAAACTGATGCTATGCCAAACACTCAACCTTTAAAAGAGGCTTCTACTGCTTGTTTGCCTCGTCCTTCAGGTTCTCTTGTTGTGCCAAAGGTTGAACCCGGAAAGAGCTTTTCTGCTTCTCGTATTACTAAAGCGGTTAGACCTGCGGATACACGGCCTCTTACTAGTGGAAACCTGAAACTTGTGACGCCTTCAACATCTTCTATCAAACCTCGTTCTGAAGGATCTACAATGCTTCCTGCGTCTACGAGCTTGACTTCTGCATTGAAGTTCGTCTCCAATCAAAGAGTTCTTACCGCTTCTGTCCCAACAACTGTGTTACCACTAAATCCAACTGTGGACACCGTCTCTTGCTATGGTGGACAAAGAGAGCAAGCTACACAGGCTCAGTCTCCTTTGTCTACACAGGAGATTGGTAGCAGGGGAAAGCAGGCTACACAGGCTCAGTCTCCTTTGTCTAGGACAATACCAGTAGCTGACACTGCAGTTCTCGGTTCCACAAACCAAAATTTGGTGGATAGAACTGCAGTACCGTCTATCAGTGGAGCTGGTTCACAATATAACGTAAAGTGTGAAGCAAACAATAAGGTTGGTTCGATGGTCAAAGTGAGTAATGTGTGCGGAGAATCTGCAGAGGTTGCAACTGTGGGAGGGACCGGACAAGGTGTTTAGTTCTTTGACAGAAACATCTGATGGTACTAACTAATATTAGAAATACATTAACTTGCAATCTGGAGCTAACATAAGCAAAGATTGATGAGGGTTGCTTCTTTTGTTTATACAGAAAGTAAAGACATCTGTATAGGATCTTACTCTAATACCATGAAATATAATTGTAACTAGATTTTACCTCGCGTTTGAAAGCACAGTAATTTTTTATGATTAAGAATCAATATAATTGGTTTACATCTTTATTTGAATTATGTTTTGATATAAAATCAATAATCCAAAATTTGTGGTGATGATTCTGTTGTATTAATTTTTAGTTTCTGTTTTTTTTCTTTGATTTTGCTTTTTGGATTTTAGTTTTTAAGTTTATATTTTTGATTTTTAGTTTTTGGTTATGGTTTTTAATTTTTAGATATGCTGAGTTAGCTTAAAATAATATTACCAACAAACAAATCTCAAATAATCGAACATCTAATTTAAAATTGATTTTTTTTAAAAAAAAAAAACTGCAATAGTTTATTTTGTAAATAAACAAAAAATATATATAACCCGCGTTTTCAACTATTCGTTTTAGTTTTTAGTTTTGCTTTAGATTTTTTTTATTTAAATAATAAGTAAATTATTTAATAAAAATAAAACAACAGTATATTACGATTTCCAAAATCTATTGGTTTCATATAATTAGTAGATTTCCATATTTGTTAAGGAACTGTTAAGATATAAAATCTATTGGTTTCATATAATTAGTAAATTTCCATAGTTCATATTTTGATGATATTTAAAAATATGTATATTAATTGTGTTGGTTTAATTTGCAATAGTTTATTTTACAATACTTTATTTTATAAATAAACAAAAACAAAAATATAACTCGCATTTTTAACTATTGGTTTTGGTTTTAGTTTTTAGATTTGGTTTTTGGTTTTGCTTTACATTTAATTTTTTTAAAAATAATTAGTAAATAATTTAATAAAAATTATAACAAACAGTATATTACGATTTCCAAAATCTGTTGGTTTCATATAATTAGTAGATTTCCATATTTGTTAAGGAACTGTTAAGATATGAAATTTATTGGTTTCATATAATTAGTAAATTTCCATAGTTCTTATTTTGATGATATTTAAAAATATGCATATTAATTGTATTGGTTTAATTTAAGTAATATGGTTTAATCAACTATATTATTCGTAACACTCTAAAAAGGGTCCAAACTTAAATGACAACTTGTATCAGTAGATAAAAGAAAGATTCTGTTTTAATAGAGTGGATGCTTTCCTTTATTCATTTCTTTCAACATATATACAGAGGAGACTTTCCATACTAGAAGATTTACATATATCGTATTCCCTATATTTAACATATATCATATCCTTATAGTTAACTCACTTCAGTGGTGCCATGACCATAATATAATGGGATAGGCTGGTAGCATATATGCATCATACTAGTAGCTCGTAAGGATATAAATCTTCTAATACACAACCATATAAAGGGTAAGAGTTCTCATTTTTTATATCTTTTACATGAACAATTAAATCATATAAAACTCGGATCAAGTTAATGGTCAGACGCAGTGGTGGAACTATGCCCATTTTGGGTGGGGTAGTTGCCCCCTATGGTATTTAAAAATTTCATGTAATTGTGTACTATTTTTGTATATTTCCCCTCTTGATATTTAAAATTATACACTAGTGTCCCGGGTAAAAATAATTTCTAGATCCGCCATTGGTCAAACGTATTGATGAGTATATTCAAACATATCAGTCATCAAAGAGACGGGCTAGATAAACTAAGACTCTTCATCACTCAAAACTCGAAAGACATTTTGATGAGTAAATTCAAACATATCAAAAAGACGGGCTAGATAAAATAAGACTGTATACACACAAACGGGAACCAACATCCACATGAGAGACACGACCAACAACTTATTTTTTGGTGTGGACAAACCCAATTCAATAACCAAAATGACCAAACCGCATACATTTAATTGACAATGCGAACTAACAGTGGAAATAATTTTGGCAAACCTAGCACTCAGTGGAACCTGAACCTACAATTCATATGGAAATGGTCTTATCACCGCATACATGGTACCAAGAGACACCACAAAAGGCAAACTTCAAATATCCAATTTGGCTCAAGTCCTTATATCGACTTGCTTTATCTAACTATTCAGATGATCAAGCAACAATCTCACTAATCTAATATTGTTATATATTTTCCTAATAATCATAAATATATAATATAATATAAAAGATCACATTATTTTTTCACTAATTCAACTACATTAATAATTATTGAAGATAATTTTATAAAGTTAATTGTAGAGCAATATTTGTTAATATTAACACCAAGATTTTGATCATAATCAATCATAATTTATTAAAATCTATTGTTAATAAAAAATCTCATATTTACACAATAATAGTTTACTTAAATTTTATATAATTTTACTTTTATTTTTATTAATTTTTACTTATATTTTATATGATTTTATTAAAGTTTATATGTAAACATAATATATATTTATTTGATAATAATAATAATAATTGTAAAAACATTAGTGTTGTTTATATAATTAGTGTCGCTTATCAACTCCAAAAATCAGATTCATATTAAGCAGCATCACTTTTTAAACTTAAGACGCCTGCTCTGACATAACAAGTTGCCGGTCCAAATTTACTTTTAACTAGAAAAGCCAACCACAGTTCTCCATTTAAAGCTAAATCAACACACTCTAATAAATCCATGGAACATCATTCCTCAAGTTGAAAAAAACTGGGCGGATCATACCATGCACCGGTCGGGGACAAGGAATTGAGGAGCATTCTTCTATGCAAATGCAAGAAAAGTTGGGTTTGTCTAGAAGTGTTCATTGATTACGTGGTAAGTTTGCAGCAACAGTTGCGCGAAGCTGGCACTGAAATACTCAAGTACATCTTTTTGGGTTGCATCCAAGATTTCCTAAAACATTATACCTGAGAAAGAGTAATACTATGAAATATAAAAAAATGGTAAATATCTTTACAAATACATACCCGAAGACCTTCATCTTCCTTTTGATGTTGTTGAACAAAGACAAGATTACAAGAGTTTAGATCTAGGAGATAAACCCCAAAACTTGCCGTCAGTCTCTGGAGGCTAATTTTCGGATCCCTTCTCGTTGCTCTCTTCTCTTCTCTTTATACTGCATTTCCGTCTTGACCTAGGTCTCCTCGACTTAACTTAATTCGGCTGGGTCGAATTGGTGATGGACTGGTTTATAAGCCAGTTAAATCATCATTTCCTTGAGATGGGCCGAGGTCTTTCTTTTATTTGGCCGTAGCGAGGTTGAGTGAAACTCTCCCCAAACAGAAGTGTCTTGTGATCAAAATTTTATCTAGGTGATGATTGTTAGTAATTTCTGAAATAGTTTTTGGTTTTTGTTTTTCCAAAAACTAATTTTTACCCAATCAAAATTTTGATTTTTGTTTTTGGTTTTTGTAAAATTCATTTTTTTGCCAATCATGTTATTAGTAAATAGATTCCCTAAAATTTAGAAAAACTGATTATTCAAAATTTTAATCAATTTACGAAGAGAACCCAAAAACCCATTATTCAAAATTTTAATCATATTCCTAAACCCGTCTACAAATCAGCGGCAGCCCATTGGATCAACAAACTTCCACCATCCGTCGTTTCACTCTGGAAGTTCGTAATGTGGGCGCTTGACCGACTTCTCATTGATTGGGCAGCACATGCTAAAGGCGAAGAACAACCTTATATCCTATATCAGGTAACTTTTCCCTTTGTTTGTCTTATTCCCATTATATCTCCTCCTCTTCTACTTAGTGCCTTACCAAGTAGAAGAGCTGTAACAAGTGCTGCTACAGCTCTCAGTCAATTCATCTCATCCTGCAATTTGTTGAGATGTGAGTCCATTTTTTTAAAGATTCCCTCCCTCCTCTGATGTTGTATGTCTAAAATCTTTGTTTTTTTTAATCAGGATTTTATCCTCGAATCCAGAGGCTCCGGCTGTACTCCTAGCCCTACCTGGAACCAATTATATTATACTGGTAGTTAAATAAGCAATGGCATAACATGTAAATTAATCTAGGCAATAAAAAGTTTTCTACTATTGACTATGAGGAGAGCTCTCTCAAGGTGACACATAAACAATAACAAAGTTGTTAATAACACATGAGGCCCTGAGGCCCTCAAATAATAGTAAAGGGATCCTTCTAACTAATCAAAGACCGAAGACGAAGTCATACATATCACAATCAATTTATCTCCATCTCCTCAACTTCGCCTGTGGAAGATAGCCTTGGCCGTTTTGCAGCTCGCTTCTCATCTTCTTCCTCCATCGGCTCCTTCTCCATCTGGTCACAACCATCCCCATCACCTTCAATCGTCTTGTCCCCAGTTTCAAGATCACCACTCATCGTCTCCTCAATTCCAAGATCACCACTCGTCTTGTCAAGATCTTCACTCGTAGTCTTGTCCTCAGTTCCAAGATCACCACTCGCCTTGTCCTCGACTTCAAGATCTTCACTCGTCTTGTCCCCAAGTCCATGATCTTCGCTCGTCTTGTCCACGAGTCCAAAATCATTCACTAATTGCTTCTTCTCGTCTCTGCCATCTTGACTCGATGCAACCACAAGCTCGTCTTGAGTAGATGGGAGTTCTTCATTCTCAGTGTTGTGGTCAGTGATATGACCCAGGGTTTCAGAAAATAAAGAGACCGTCTCTCTTGATGGACTCTCACCGGTTTCTCCTACATGAATATTTTCCATTGGGGTGTCTTCTATTATACCAATATCTTCTGAATCATTAGAGGTTTCAGATAACGAATCAGCCTCACCTTCCTTCTGCACCGGCATCATACTTAGGTTCAATGAAGAGAACGAGGTAGATGGTCTCGGAGATGCAATTCCAGTGATTCGTTGAAAGTTTCCCTGTCCAGGGTTCAGACACATAAAATGTTCACCACTTTCCATCTCTACTTGCTGCCCAATACAAAGGCAAATTAAGCAAATTAAAATTTGAAAGATCATTAGCTTACTGAATTATTTAGTACCTCTGTTGCCAATGCGTTGTTACTAAGATGATAAAACGAAGATGGTTCCTGGAATGTTTGTTGTAGTTCTCCAAGTAATGATCCTGTGTTGTTGGCTCCTGAATCGAATAAATCCCTTAGAACCACGCCGGAATCATTAACAGCTTGCACGTTCATCATGGAAGATCTTTCAAGCAGAGTCATTTCAATTCCTTGTTCGTCTTGCGTCTGTGTCATATTCCCATTACAGTCTGTCAACGGGGTGCATCTCCCAGAGGGAACCTCGATGCCTGTATTGTTACTGACGGGCACTGGACTTTCGCAGAACTGATTTTGTTCATTAATAATTTTCCGTTGACGGTTTTCAAGGAGTTCAAAAATTAATTTCTCAATCAGAGTACGCTTCAACGAGGCCTCCGCAGGAGGGAACCAGTTTAGATAAAGCTGGAAAACACAGAGAAAGAGTATGATCAGCAAAAAAAGAAAAGAGAGACTGAAAAATACAAATCCAGCTCTTCTTAATTAAGCTCCATTTTTAGAAACTATATGTTCTGACTCTTTCGATTCGATACATGAGAGGTACCAATTAGAGTATAGACTTACAAAGTTGGAAGCATTATATATCTCGAAAGGACTAAAATTCTGGGGAGCTTCTGCTAAAAATAGCTCCAAATAGTGCAGCAGAAAGAGGCCACAGTCATATGAGTTTTCCTGCTGTGGCAACTGAAACAGAAAGAGCAAATTCGAAATCACATAAACTAAATGATTAACAGTTGCGAAAACTTCTATAATATCACAGGAAAAAAGGGTTTCACAAGAGATAAAGAACTTATAAAAGGGCCTCGAGGCAAAATATTTTAAGACTAGAGGCCAGACCTCGAGTGAGACAAACCGCAAATTCATGAATCTGGAAGAAATATCATCCGATGTCTCCTTATGCCTCTCCTTCCACTCCTCGCACAAGTAGCTAAAAGCAGCAAAATGTTGTTGTTAGCAACTTGCACTACCTAGCTTAAAACTTAAGCATGAATAAAGTTCTACACTTAATTCAAAAGGATCAGAGCATGGAGCTACAACATATTCTTGAACGGATAAACGTAAAAACAGCATCAAGAAAATATATTAGCATATCGTTGAGAAAGGCAGAAACATAAATAAATGACGTATATGCAATGCTGCCAAACATACCTTTGGACCAGATTCTTAAGCCCTGCGTGGCTCCCTTTTATAGAATCCATATGTAAAATACATGGTACTTTTGTGGAGTCATCCACGTCTATATCTGTAGACTACAACATATTATAATAAACTGAATGATAATGACTAAGCAATTAATAAAGTAACATGTGACTTTACTTGTACAATTAGCCACTTCACCAGGATGACAGATGATTATCAAACTCCAGTGAAGACTGTCATTAGAATTTAGCAGTCTCAGATTTCGAACTCAATACACATCTAACATAAATATAAGTGCCAAAAAAGGTCATACTTGAAGTTCACCGGTACAAAAATGTAGTCCTTCCCAAACAAGTCCACCTTCCTAGTCCACTTCCGGACACGTAAAAAAGCAGCCTTTCCATCGGCTATACTCGATGGATCTTTGTCGAGATCAGCAAGTTTCCGGAAGAAAAAACTGTTAAAGAAATGGAATCTCTGTCTCTCCTCCGCTTGAATCTGATTCTTCAAATAACTGTGAATAGTAGAATAATACACTAAGCTGTTAAAAGTTAAGGTTAGCATCACGAGAAGATTTCACTAAGACCAATAGTAAAATTGTGTATTATATTGAGACCATCAACTAAATAAAAGATTCAACCGTGTCATAAAAATAATCTACAACGCATTCTAGAGCCTATACTATCTGCCAACATTCCATCAGAGAGAAGAACTTACTTAATATAGAAGTCAATGATTGTGTCATTCACAAATGTCTCTGGCTGCAACAGCTCGACATCTCTTTTGCAAATGGAAACAGCATCTGGATCTCCCTTTGGATAAACAACATCCTCAAATGGTTCATCAAATCTGAAAAGACAACATAAAACTCGTAGTTCAATATGAAATGCCACCTCCCAATGGTTTAAATTCTTTCAGTTATCTACTTCAGAGAGCCAAAGAATATAAGCAGTGACGTACTTTGAGCATTTTTACCCCAAAAGCAGAACAGAAGACAGCGTCTGCTTACACAAGAATATAAAATACAACTCCTATAGATCACTCTTACCGTGGAAAATAACGCTTCCGTTGATGCAAGTTGGCCCCTGATACTTCCACGTCCTCACTACAATAAAGAAACAGTTATGGATGACTTGGAACAATAAGTCACCAAAGTACTCAGAATGTAACTAAAACCAAATATGAGTCCAGTGCCCTTCTTCTATTTTTTGGTCCAGTTTGCTAGTGACTTAAGGTTTTATCCCCTCATTCTCGTAGTTATTCAGCAAATAAAATTTCTTGTCATCACAGTATGCAATTAAAATTTAAATGAAAGTGGCAAAAAGAATGTGTTTTCCAATTAGCGTTCCGTAATATTAGAAGCTTACTCGAGGTCAGCACTCCATACAGCCGGGTATTTCACATGCAGCGAGTTAATTTGTTGTTGCTTCTCAGGCCAATTGTGATCTTTAACTGCAAACTTTAACTCCTCAATGTCTGGAAACCACACGAAGCAATATAAAAAGTTAGGATAGGGATCCCCTAGTGTTGGAAAGAACTAAGGCTTAAAAAGCGACTATTCGGTTTTTGCTGAAATAAAATTTTTATTATGAATCTTGGTCCTGCAACTAGTTATTGTATATACGATTTTAACAAGATTAGTTGCAGGGAAACATTCTGTGTTAAACCTAAATAGCGTATGTATAATAACTGAGAAGTGAGCATACCTGTGGTGTGTTGCATATCTTCATGGCATTTTTCATCCTTTAACAGAACTTGAACTCTGAGAATAATCAGTCCAACCTATGAAAGCGACCAGCAAAAATTGTAAAACTGATAGAGGTTCATATATGCAAAATAGAAAAAGAGCCATAAAGTATCTTTCAAACTGGAAGCACACCATAAATGAAAAACTCACATTTTGGTACCAATTGTATTGAATACTAAGTACGTCTTCAACTCCAAATTCACAACAGAATGGCCCTTCTTCGTTATTATCAAGATAGCTCTTTATTTTGATTCCATTGCATGAAAAGATTACCAGAGATGCAGCACAAGGCATATCCTTAAGCACAACATACTCTGGAATCATGATAACAGCCGTGTTTCTGTCAATCTGCATATGGGAAACGTTGACAATTGTAACTCTTGCTTGAACATTCAGGCACAATCAAAAGTAGCCTTACTGTAATATAAAAATATATCAACATGTATAAACTATCAACCAGTCCCATCAGAAATGTTGCTAAGAGGAATACCCATATTCCAACTCTTATAATTATAAGCGTTGACATGAAAATTTTAAGCTCACAAACAACAGAGTGCGAAATAATTAAAATAATTAGGCTAAAGAAAGAAGGTTGCATTCTGTTCATCTATGTACCACAATCTGAATTATGGACGAATCACGTAAAATATCACACAGGTACCATCATGTCATATAGGGGATGAAAGAAGAAAAGGAATAAATAGTATCGTTTTGCAACCACACAAGATGGCCTCAAAGGCAAAAAAAAAAATCTGGTGGAAGATTTAAAGCCACTGGTTAAGAAACAAGAAAACTCATTACCTTTTCCATGTCATCGAAGCAGTGTTCAGCCATCCAATCTTTTAGCGGATACAACAATGAAATCAATAGCCAGTTAGACATAGAAGGACATCAAGACATACATGTAAGGAAATATAACAAAAAGCCTTTAACATGTACCTTCATCTCCTTCTGAATCAGAAGCTTCACTCAACGCAGATCGATCACTCATGCTTTCATCAATAGCTGACATCATATCAGTTCGCTCCTCCTAAAAATGTAAAGAGGTTAGAAACACAAGCTAAAAGTTCTGAAGGCTTTCTCACATACAAAACAAAAAAAAAGCAATACAAGATAGATTTACATACACTGGATGAAGAATCCGAAAGTGGTGAGCTAAGCTGGCGTCGACTATATGTGGAAGTTCCGGCGTAGAAACGTTTTGCGCTTGGCTGGCAAGAGAAACTTTCCAGGCCATGATCTCCATCTGCTTCTTTTGCACTGTCTTCGGTACTCAAACCAAGCATCAAACCACGATCTAAATCTGCTATGGTCAAATTGTCTCTGGAGGACTCCACAGCTTCTGTTACTAAACCCGGAGCATCGGCACAATGACGATCGATTACATCAGTAACAGCCTCTGCACAACTCGCGTCTCCCACTTCTTTAAGAGCAGATTCTTCCTGGCAAACTGACAGCAATTAACAATGTTCATAAGCATTCATATATGATGCAAACTGTTCAACAAAGTTTCTGGAAAAACAGTGCAAATTATTATCTAGTTTACCTAAACATTTTAGAAACAGAACGTCATTTAGCATCATTAGCCCTTACATGCTCTAGAAACAAGCAATGATCATTCAATTGTACGCTAGAGTACGAAAATCAAAATAGATTTTAAAAATACTTAGCTAAGCTTCCCCGAAAACTATCACTGAGTGGAGTTTAAGGAAGGAAGAAGAGAAGAGACTCACAGCTTTGGATGACGTTGGCGTTGGAGCTAGGGTTTGTGAATTTTTCCAGTAGCTTTCCAGAAGTGGACTCAACGAGCTCGTCCTCTACGTTGAAATCGAATACGTCAGTGTCTTTCTTCATCGCTAGGTTATCTGAGGGAAGTCTCGCCGGGAGAAACAGAACAATTCCACGCCGGAGATCGGAAATTGAAGGTTCGAGTGAGAGCGAAGAGAGAGGAGAGACGCTAAAACGACACGAGTCAATAACGTATGCAAGCGCGTCTGAACTCCACGCGCGTTACGTAACTTTACGATATTTATCCAATAAGATCTTCATCTGCATAATTCAGCTAAGGAAAATGACAGATCTACCCTTTCTTCTCCGCCGTGAATTTTTAAATAGCAGTGACGTGGACGCCATCGCTGAATCACAAAAAGAGAAGAGACACCTAGTCGAAACTCCACGCGCGCGTTACGTAACTTTACGATATTTATACCAATAAAAAATCTTCATCTGAATAATTCAGCTAAGGAAATAACATATCTACCCTTTCTTCTCCTCCGTGAGTTTTAAACAAGTGGTGACGTGGACGCCATCGTTGAATCACAAAACTGTTAGCAGAGATTCGAAGGTAAGTCATGGATGTCTCGGGAAGCTTGACTTGCGTCGTCGTATCTGTAGATGGAAGCGAGGTGAGCATGGAAGCTCTGAGATGGGCTCTAGACAACCTCAAGCTCTCATCGTCTTCCCCCGATTCATCATTCGTCGTCCTCCACGTCCAGCCTCCGCCTTCTATCGCCGCAGGCGTTAACCCCGGCGCCATACCTTTCGGTGGTCCCAGTTAAGTCTCGTTTATAACTGTATATGATGATTTTGTTGAATTTGACTGTGGAAGATTTTTTGGATGAAGGTGACGTGGAGGTTCCTGCTTTCGCCGCTGCGATCGAACAACACCAGAAACGGATCACTGATGCGATACTTGAACACGCTCGTCAAATCTATGCTGATAGATCGGTGAGTAGCGGTTTGATTGTGATTTGATTGATTTGAATCTGGAGGACTTAGTTGTATGAGGAAGTTTTGTGGTGATTTAATTCTCAGGTGAATGTGAAAACGCAAGTGGTAGTTGGAGATCCGAAGGATAAGATCTGCGAGGCTGTGGAGAATTTGAAAGCTGATTTGCTTGTCATGGGATCTCGGGCTCATGGTCCTATTAAGAGGTAACCAATCTCTTTTTTTTTGTCCACGCTAGTATCTTGCCTTTGTGTTTTGGTGTGATGGAAGCTACAAATCAAGATTCAAGGCGTTTGAATCTTGGTTGCTATGGTGAATGAGTTGTCTCTAACTAAACTACTCTGCTAAACTAGACGTAGTTGGAGTTTGCTTGGATGGATTAATATTATATCTTTCTCAACATTTTTGATCAAGCAAATAAGTTTTCTAACTTCTCTGTATCATTTGTGCTTGTTTATATATGAACTAGAATCTGTTGCGACCTGAGAAATAAAGAGCTTTTTGGCCTAATAGTTAGCAAAAGATTGATCAAATCCTATTTGAAGTTCCCACTGGTTGTTCTTTTGGAGGGGTTATATTATATCTTTTGCAACATGTTTTATCTATGATGCAGAAAATATTTTAAGTAAATATCAATGTTGAGAGACATGGAACAGTTTGAAAAATGAAAAATGTTAGTCTTTAAACTTCTCGGATATGATTACAAGATAAATAGGCATTCAGCTTGACTTAAGAGCAGGCATTTCTCTGCTCAGCTAGCAAATACTTCTTAGGGAATAGTTTTCCCGTTTAAGATCCATATTCTTGTGTTTCTTTCATGAGCTAAATCTTATATGGTGGAGCAATGCGTGTGCTCAATCCATTTTTTTTTCTCTTTCAACAGGATGTTTCTGGGAAGTGTAAGCAACTACTGCACCAACCACGCTCCATGTCCTGTTATGATAATTAAACCCAAGGAGGATTCTTCTGAATAATCAGGTAAACAAGTTTTACTTTCTTGCAAATCATGCCTTCAGCTTTCAACCTTCTTGTAAATTATGTCAGACATTTGCAATCAATTGTTCACCCTTTACGATGGTACTCAATCTTTATCCACATACTCTATTGTTCATGTCGAAACCAACCTAATATTTCCGTGATTTTTAGGTGATTCTCAGTAGTGTGTGTTTTATCTCTAGATTCTATCGATGTCAAAGTTTTTCTACAGCCTATCCAACAGAGCTATCTTATCATCTCCATTTCTCAGGGATATGTGCACATATAGGATATCAAAACCATTTCTGGAAGTTTGTGAAGCTATGGAAGCAGAGCAAAAAAGCCACCTGTTTTTAGATGTTAATGCATTGGTGTGAATGTAAAAAATCAATAAGAGCTACAGAAACTTTGGTTGGCTCAGAAGTCAGAAGCTGTGTTGTACTCATATTCATGTCATTAAGTTAAAATCTATGATGTTTCTTAAATGGACATTGGTTGGCTCAGAATCTGTGTTGTACTCATATTCATGTCATTATGTTAAAATGTATGATGTTTCTTAAATGGACATTGGTTGGCTCAGAATCTGTGTTGTACTCATATTCATGTCATTATGTTAATCTATGATGTTAAATGATGTGAGTTGCTGTTGCATCAGTCTCTTTGAGGAACAGTTACATAGTTAACTCTTTGAACACCAACTATAGAGCTAACTTAGCTTAGTGGCATGAAACTGATTATAACCAAAAAGCACAATCTTCGTCTTCCTTTTTTCCTCTTATAAACCGAGTAGGCATCAATTTATGCGTCGGGATCCTCCTCTAAGCAGGCTGCAAAGCTTTTCATTAGATTTTCAGTAGTCCTGACAAATCAAAGGCCTTGCGATCATAACTCATATGGTTTGGAAAATGCTTGGGTAGCAAGTTTGATATATCTAGGAGCATTGTCAACTTGTCACTCAACAAAATAAGGGCCATGTAGCAAAATGCCAGGCAATATTATTGGATCTGGGGATCTCTATGTAAGTTCATATAATACTGGATGGAGGATAAAAGAATGATTATGACATTTTTTTCAGGATTGTAAAATATGTTAAAAGGGCTCGTGAATGAACAATGATAGAAAAGGGACGAAAATATACATCGTCGTTTTGTCGTTACAACACGATAAGGGAGGCTCACGGACTTGCATAATCATAGACTACTTTCTTTTATTAGAACTTTTGTGAAACTTTTTAATATCTAGTGGTGAAGATCACGTTAATGATCCACCAAACATATAAATTGAAAATAATAAGTTGATAACGTTGTTGTATCATGAATTATGAATAGATTTCACTAATTGCCAATTGGTTGAGAAGTTACCATAGCTTAAAAGGACTGACGGTTGTAATGTGATATCTATAATAAAAGTTTTATAAAGATGTGATGCTAAGCCCAGAACAAATGTTCAGTAAGGTTAAAAGTTTCAATCTCAGGTGTGAACATGAATAGTTCACCCGTCGCAACCGAACAAAAAAACAGTCTGTTAAGAGTTTTGTCATGATATGGCATCAAAATAATTGGTTTGTCTGGTTTTTTGGTTGTTTATCACTATCCAAAAGCACATTTCACTTCACATGCAACACAATGCCTTTGGTCCCTGGCTGACTCTCTGGCTACTCCGGGCCATACACTCTGTCTCCTCGTGACGGTTATCTTCTTTGAAGCTTTCAAATTATAAACCCACAACAGTGTATGTTAAAACCTCAAAGTATTAGTTGGTTTGGAATAACGCCGGCGCCAAAATATATGCAACTCGAAACAGCTGCAAAATGCAAACTTGTCTATTAACTACAAAGCATATATTTACATAGGGTAGGTACAATATGCTCCAGAGAGAGCGAAACTTCAAATACCATAGTTTTGACAAGATCACCATGAAAAAAATCAAACATTAACTTTTCTTAATCATTCACGTGAATTGATCAAGTAGTACTGCCTGCCAGTCCAGACAGGAGCGACCGGACCGGATCCACCAACCACCTCGACGTTGAGGATATTTTCGTACTTTGAGATATCACTTTAGCCATATATAAATACAACATCCTATTCAAAGAACATTATCTTATATCCACAACACCACATTATCTCAAAACCATGGCCTCCTCAACTCTCCATTTCTTCTTCTTATTAGCCCTTCTCTTGCCGTCCACGCTAACCACCGCCACACGTGACACATGTGCGACCGCCGCTCCCGACGGCTCCGAAGATCTCTCAATCATCCCCATCAACGCCAGATGCTCACCATTCGCAGCAAATCCAACCTCCACCTCCGTCATGGACACCGTCCTCCACATGGCCTCCGCAGACTCTCACCGCCTCACCTACCTCTCAAGCCTCGTCGCCGACAAACCCAACCGAACCTCCGTCCCCGTCGCCTCCGCCAACCAGCTCCTCCACACCGGCAACTACGTCGTCAGAGCCAGACTCGGCACTCCTCCTCAGCTCATGTTCATGGTCCTAGACACCAGCAACGACGCCGTTTGGCTCCCTTGCTCCGGATGCTCGGGTTGCTCCACCGCCTCTTACTTTAACCCCAACTCCTCATCCACTTACTCAACCCTCTCTTGCTCCACCTCACAATGCACGCAAGCACGTGGCCTCACGTGCCCATCCTCCTCACCCTCACCACCTTCCATCTGCTCCTTCAACCAATCCTACGGTGGAGATTCATCCTTCTCCGCCTCACTCGTCCAAGACACGCTGACGTTAGCCTCTGACGTCATCTCAAACTTCACCTTCGGATGCATCAACTCAGCCTCAGGAAACTCCCTCCCACCGCAAGGACTAATGGGCCTAGGACGCGGGCCCACGTCATTAATCTCCCAAACGACGTCGCTTTATGCAGGAGTGTTTTCCTACTGCCTCCCTAGCTTCAGGTCCTTCTACTTCTCCGGGTCGTTGAAGCTGGGTCCCACCGGTCAACCAAGATCCATCAGATACACTCCACTCCTACGCAGCTCCCACCGTCCTTCACTCTACTACGTCAATCTCACCGGTATAAGCGTCGGTCCCACACTAGTTCCCGTTGACTTCAAGTACCTGACGTTTGACTCGAGCTCGGGAGCCGGTACGATAATCGATTCCGGTACAGTAATCACCCGGTTCGTTCAACCGGTTTACGAGGCCGTTAGAGACGAGTTTAGGAAACAGGTGAGAGGGCCGTTCTCGACGCTGGGAGCGTTCGACACGTGTTTCGCCGCGGATAACGATAACTTGGCGCCAAAGGTGACGTTGCACATGACGTCACTCGATTTGAAGCTGCCCGTGGAGAATACGCTTATTCATAGCAGCGCGGGAACGCTGGCGTGTTTGTCGATGGCGGGGATACCGTTGAATAACGCGAACGCTGTTTTGAACGTGATCGCGAATCTGCAGCAGCAGAATCTGAGGATTTTGTTTGATGTTCCTAATTCTCGTCTTGGTATTGCTATGGAGGCATGCAACTAAGAGGAAGATGTGATCAATTGTTTTTCTTTTTTTTGCCTTATTTGTTCGATGTTTATTTGAAGTTGAAGTGAAAGGGTTCTTGAATAAGAGATCGATTAGATGGCAAGACATCTAGATTGTTGAATGTTGTTGATTTTCGGCTTGTAACTACAAGAAAACTCACTTCCACAAGTTTCTCATCTAGTAAAGTTTCTTAGTACATGAATACATTGACCAACGAGACGCAAGGAAAAACAGAAAGAAACTAAAATTCAAAAAAGAGTATTGGCAAATTCTGTGTGCAGCCTTTCTCTCCCACTCTGCAAATGCAGGATAAAGATTACAATCCTCTTAGTCACTCTTTTCAAGGGTTCAAAATAGATGCTCTTGAGCAGAAGTAGTTTACAATTTCTTAAGTGACATAAACCTTACCGGACCGTGAAGCTTGTCAGACAATAACTGCTGTAAGCATTTGAGCAGAGCAGAGCAGCTAACATGCCACACTTTTCTATTCCTGAAACACAGTGAATGCAGGGAGTTTTTAGCACATTTTATGAATTCAAAAACAGCAGAGCATTAACCAGTCAAGTAAACCAAAATCAATGTATATTTAACTACTTTAAAACCAAAAGATTCATTGAGAAATGAGCAAAATTTTACTATAAGGACCCTACCTCCATAGGACCAGAACCGTCATTAACACCAGATGCAGATTCAGGAACTATAAGGCCTGCAGGAACCTGGCCAAACTTCAAAGCCTGTTCGAGTCTTGCAATTTCTTCTATCGTCTGGGAGTTGATAATGGCAGCCTGGAACATTAATGAAATGAAAAACCAAATATTACAATCAAACACAGAGCCTTCATTTACTTAATAATATCTAAAATAAACAAATCAGCGAATAATGCTCTGTCCTATCCAGTTTCCAGTTTCTCTTCTGTTCAAAGCCCCTAGGAAACAATTCCTATGCTACGCAGCTAAATAATCCAATTTAGAGATAAGCGCACCTTGATTGCTAAAATTTGCTCCGGTGTCGGGGCCACGACTTTTGGAGTCTCTGATTCTTCAGTAGTATCTGACACTTTTTGAACCACCTCCTGAGATACTTTCTTAACCTCTTCTTCTGCTTCCTTAGATGAAAACAAAGCCGCAGCTTCAGCTCTCTCCTGGTAGTAAACAATGATTGTCAGGTTAATGGTCTTCCTCTTAGCATTTTCTAATTCACTAATTCATATTATTGCCTACAGTCCGGTTAAACCATTTAATGGTTTTGCATAAGCTACGTGGGATAAAAGCTCAAGGGAGAGGCAAATGCTACAATAAGCTGAATACGATACTACAGAGTCTACAAGAAGCAAAGGGAGGTACACTAAGGAGCTAAATACGAGACTACAGAGTCCACAACACAAGGAAAACTTGGATACATAATAAGTTGCTCACCTTGGCTTTAACTTTAATGAAATCCAGCACTCGAAGTGATTTAAGCTTGTGAATCACATAAAGTCGATAATTCGGCTTTTTGGTGATATTATTATCCAATAAACTAAGGTACTGAAGCTTCGGAATAGAGGCAAGTGGATCAATCTCAACCAAATTCACAAGCCTGTTATTCGTAAGAACCAAAGTGTGCAGCTTCGGTAAAAACTCTACAGAAAAAAACACAACAATAGAACAAAAACATAACACAATTAATTAAAATTCAAAATTTCATTACAACACGCTTAAAAAGAACGAAGCTTTACCTCCAATATTAGGGTTTATCCGAGTGATCCGATTGTTATTTACAATCAAAGTCCCTAAACGGTTGAGAAGTGGAAAGTTTTCTAGCTTAACTATCTCATTATCAGACAGATCTATCGTATCGAACTGGTCCTGTAATTAAAAAAACACAAATTGATTAGTAATAAAAAAAAAGGAAGGAGATTTACAACAGCATAATTCGAGAAAAGTTACCTCAGTAGCACCCAAGTTCTCGATTACAGGAATCTTGTTACCTTCAACAAAAAATAGCAGAGAGAAGATGCGTTTAGGGTTAATTAAAACTCTAGAACAGTAATGTTGGAGGAAGATGATAAGTTTACCTCGTAGCTCCAACTCTCGCTCCTTGATGGCATTGAAGAAGTGAGGACTGTTCCAGATCAAATCAGCTGTTAGCTTCACCATTATTCTACTACTAGGGTTTTACAGCTTCTCTGCTCCTCGGATTCAGAAGAAAGAGAAGAGTGTCGAAGAAATCATGAAGACGCAAGTCTCTTTGTTATTATCATTCGGCCCATTTAAATCACTATTGGGCTATTTTCGGCCCATACATATTGGCTATTCCTGGCCCATACATATTGGGCTATTTCTGGCCCATAATAAATTTTTGGTAGTTAAATTTTTGTTTTTGGGGCAATTTTGGCAGTTAATTTAGAAAAAAAGGACTAGATTCGATTCGATTCGAACTGTTCTTCTTCTTCGTTGTTTCGAACCCTAATCTAGGGTTACTCTCAATCTCACTCCCTCCTGTTCTTCATTCTCCCGATTTACACGAGCATTAGCTTCACAACACCCTTTGAATTTGATCACATTTTAAAAAAAAACAGTTGAGCGAAGATGAGGATTATGATCAAGGGAGGTGTGTGGAAGAACACCGAAGATGAGATCCTCAAAGCCGCCGTGATGAAGTACGGCAAAAACCAATGGGCTCGTATCTCCTCCCTCCTCGTTCGCAAGTCCGCCAAGCAGTGTAAAGCTCGTTGGTACGAATGGCTCGACCCCTCCATCAAAAAGGTTAGTAGCGTTTAAAAGTATTGATTTTGATTTCTTGAATTTCGTTAGAAAGTGTAAACCTTTACGATTTTTACTGAATTTAGAAACTGATTTTTTTTTTTTGTATGGTGTTGATGTTTTAGACTGAATGGACCAGAGAAGAAGATGAGAAGCTTCTACATCTCGCAAAGCTCTTACCTACTCAATGGAGAACCATTGCTCCCATCGTGGGACGTACGCCGTCTCAATGCCTCGAGAGGTACGAGAAGCTTCTTGACGCGGCGTGCAGTAAGGACGAGAGTTACGAAGCGGGGGATGATCCGAGGAAGCTACGTCCTGGTGAGATTGATCCTAACCCGGAGTCGAAGCCTGCTCGGCCTGATCCGGTGGATATGGATGAAGACGAGAAAGAGATGCTTTCTGAGGCGAGGGCGAGGTTGGCTAACACTAGGGGGAAGAAGGCTAAGAGGAAAGCTAGGGAGAAGCAGCTTGAGGAAGCGAGGAGGCTTGCTTCTCTGCAGAAGAGGAGGGAGTTGAAGGCTGCTGGGATTGGTAAGAGTCATAGGAAGAAGAAGAGGAAAGGGATTGATTATAATGCGGAGATTCCTTTTGAGAAGAGGGCGCCTGCGGGGTTTTATGATACGGGTGATGAAGATCGGCCTGCGGAGCAAGTGAAGTTTCCGACGACTATTGAGGAGCTTGAAGGGAAGAGGAGGGCTGATGTGGAAGCGCAGTTGCGGAGGCAGGATGTTGCGAGGAACAAGATTAACGAGAGGAAGGATGCTCCAGCAGCTATATTGCAAGCGAATAAGTTGAATGATCCTGAAGCTGTTAGGAAGAGGTCGAAGCTAATGTTACCACCACCACAGATTTCGGATCACGAGCTTGAGGAGATTGCAAAGATGGGGTACGCTAGTGACCTTCTTGCGGAGAATGAGGAGTTAACAGAAGGCAGTGCTGCTACTCGTGCGCTTTTGGCTAATTACTCACAAACGCCAAGGCAGGGAATGACGCCCATGAGGACGCCACAAAGAACTCCTGCTGGTAAAGGTGATGCTATTATGATGGAAGCAGAAAATCTAGCTAGATTAAGAGATTCTCAGACACCTTTGCTGGGAGGAGACAATCCTGAGTTGCACCCTTCTGACTTTACTGGGGTCACTCCTAGGAAGAAAGAGATTCAAACGCCTAATCCGATGCTGACTCCTTCAATGACTCCTTCGATGACTCCTGGTGGTGCTGGCCTTACTCCCAGACTTGGCTTGACGCCATCAAGGGATGGTTCTTCTTTTGCTATGACACCCAAAGGAACTCCCTTCAGGGATGAACTTCACATAAATGAAGACATGGACATGCACGAGAGCGCTAAACTTGAGAGGCTGAGACGAGAGGAAGCTAGAAGGAGCTTACGCTCCGGACTTACTGGGCTTCCTCTGCCAAGGAACGAGTACCAGATAGTTGCACAACCTCCTCCAGAGGAAAGTGAAGAGCCAGAAGAGAAAATTGAGGAAGATATGTCAGACAAGATAGCTAGGGAAAAGGCTGAGGAGGAAGCAAGATTGCAGGCACTGCTTAGGAAAAGGTCCAAGGTGTTGCAGAGAGATCTTCCTAGACCTCCAGCAGCTTCGTTGGAACTAATTAGGAATTCATTGCTTTCAAGCAACGGAGACAAAAGTTCTGTTGTTCCTCCTACTCCAGATGAGGTTGCAGATGAATTGGTAAGAAAGGAGCTTTTACAGTTGCTGGAGCATGATAATGCAAAGTATCCTCTTGATGGGAAATCTGAGAAAAAGAAAGGAGTCAAGAGCCGTGCTAACAGTTCTGGTACTCAAGTTCTTGAAATTGAAGACTTTGAGGAAAATGAACTCGAAGAGGTATGAATGTGAATAATATCATCCTTATCTCTAATTGAACTACCTTTAGAGTCCTTAGTTTGCTCTTGGTTCATGGATAGGTTGCTTGATGGATATTATGCTCATGAATGTAGAACCGCCCTTGGTTTGAAGCAACATCTTTAATCTGGTATACGAGAAGGGGTTTCTAATGTAAACTTTTTATGATTATTATGGTAGGCTGACAAAATGATCAAGGAGGAGGCGCAGTTTCTTTGCGTGGCAATGGGAAACGAGAACAAGACACTTGACGATTTCGTAAAAGCTCACGACGATTGCGTGAAGGATCTCACGTACTTCCCCACTCGTAATGCTTATGGGCCTTCAAGTGTTGCTGTGAAGGCAGAAAAAGTTGCAGCTTTGCAAGTGGAGATGGAGAATGCTAGAAAAAAAATGGAGGAAGATGAGAAGAAGGCAGAACACATGAAGGCTAAGTATAAAACGTATACAAAGGGTCACGAGGTGTATATATATTGTCCTCATTACCTGTATCTTAATTTTGAAACTATGGTGTACGATCGCTCTTAAGTTTGGTGTAAGTTTTAATGATTTACTATTTGTTCATTTGACAGAAACGAGCAGAGACCGTGTGGAGCCAAATAGAGGCGAGTTTGAAGCAGATTGAGATTGGTGGAACAGAAGTAGAGTGCTTTAAAGCATTGAAGAGACAAGAAGAGATGGCTGCATCTTTCAGGAAGAAGAATCTAGAGGAAGAAGTGGTAAAGCAAAAGGAGACTGAGCGGAAACTGCAAGCGCGCTATGGAGAACTGTTGACAACGCTTGAAAAGGCAGAGGAGATAATGGTCGGGTTCCGAGCACAAGCATTGAAACAAGCGGACGTTGACGATTCTCAAGTGAAAGAAGCGGACGTTGAAGATTCTCACAAAGTGAAAGAGGCTAAGCCAGCCACTGGAGTGGAAGCTTCTACTTAAGCATCTCTCTGAACTTGAGTTTTTGTATTGATTCAAGTTTTAAAGAGCCGCAGCTTGACTTTGTATTGGTTCTACGTTTAATCCGAATCATAACTTTGTAAAGCTTGTGATACTTCTCTGTTGTGTGCTTATGGTCAACAAAAATGCTTGAATACAAACAGATTTTGAGAATCTTTAAGGGCTTATTACCATGGCTGGAGATTTTTGGGAAGAGAAGGAAAAAGCTTGAATATCATTCAAAACCAAAATCAACATGTTTGGCCAAAAGGCAAAATCAAACAATGCTCGTCTTTTGTGTTATATTATTAAAAATGGAAAGCAACATATCATTCTTAGAGTTTCAGCCTCTATTCAAAACTAAGAAGGCTCTCAGTTCTACTCCACAACTTCAATGAGGGTGGGCTCGTAGTCAGCGGGAGCCACAAATCCATGGAGGTTCATCACGGTAGCAGCTACGTTCGCAAGTCCTGGTGTCTCCAGATCCTTACGGAATCTCACTCCTGCAGACAGTCCTGGTCCTCCAATGGCAATTGGCACCTGCAACACATTCCAATCAGTATCCACAATGTCACATCAAGTCTAGTCCAATGTATTAACTGTAATAGCCGCAGAACACAGATATGCACTTACTGGCTTGAGAGTGTGAGAGGTAAGAATCTGAAGCTTTCCTTCTTTATCCAAAGCAGGCTTTCCAGCCTTGTCCCTCTTAACCATGTCCTCTGCGTTTCCGTGATCAGCAGTCACAACGTAAATACCTTTCACTTGTTCAATTGCATCCAGGATCATCTGCAACAACCAAACCAGGCAACACCATTAGTGGACTGAGTCACTCACTCATATCATCAACACTCGTCAATAAACCTTTTCTTAAAAAAATACAGTACCTTCACAGCAACATCAGCAGCCTCGCAAGCAACAACCGTGGCATCAATGTCACCAGTATGTCCAACCATATCACTATTTGGCAAGTTAACTCGCACCTGATCAAACTTGCCACTTAGAATTGCGTCCCTTGCCTTCTCAGCAATCTCCAATGCCTTCATCTTTGGCTGGACATTGAATGAGATTCCACTGTCACTTGGAATTTCAACATACTGCTCCAGTTTCTCATTGAAATATCCAGATCGGTTTCCGTTCCAGAAGAATGTAACATGCCCAAACTTGACGGTCTCACTGTTTCACATACATTGACATATATATGATCAGTTCAAGACTATACACTATTGGCAAAACAATGCATATGACATATACTCAAAATGGGAGAGAGAAATAGACAAACCTGCAAGCAAAAGTACTGATGCCATTGTGAGTCAAATATTCACCAGAGGTTCTATCAATCTCCGGGGGAGAAACAAGGTAACGGCTTGGCAGCTTTAGCTCACCATCATACTCAAGCATACCAGCGTAACGGATCTTAGGGAACCTCACACGATCAAACTTGTCAAAGTTCTCATACTCAAGCGCCTTGGCATGCATAACCATACGATCAGCCCTGAAGTTGAACGTGACAACTGCATCACCATCCAAGATAGGACCAACAGCTTTTCCAGCGTCATCAACAATCACAAAAGGAGGCAAGTACTGGTCGTTAGCACCAGGCTCCTTCCTCAAAGTCTTCACAGCTTCAACAGCGTTTTTGAACTTGTGGGGAGCTTCTCCAAGAACCTGAGCATCCCAACCACGTTTCACAACACTCCAGTCATTCTCGTAACGGTCCAAAGTCACGTACATACGACCTCCACCAGACGCAATCTGAGCGTCCACACCGTTATCACGCAACTTAGCGAGGTCGGCTTCAAGAGTCTCCACGAATCCAACACTTGAACCGTCCAAAACATCACGACCATCAGTGAGAATATGGACACGGATTCTCTTAGCACCACGTTCAGCAGAACCCTTGATCAACAACTACAAAAAATACACAACAAAATGTTTCAGTAACCTAAACAGCAACACTCAGCCAAACAAAGGGATGCAGAAAGGATCAATACTTGGAGCTGGTCGAGACGAGAGTGGACTCCACCGTCACTGAGAAGTCCAACGAAATGCAAAGTGTTCTTCTCGAAAGATTCAGAGACGTATTTGAAACCTTCACCTTCAAAGATTTTGCCGGAAGCAAGAGCAATGTCACAAAGCTTAGCACCTTGAGCGAAGATACGACCAGCACCGAGAGCATTGTGGCCAACCTCACTGTTTCCCATATCGTCTTCACTTGGGAGTCCAACAGCAGTTCCATGAGCTTTGATCAACGTCCATGTATCAGGAGCTCCCTGTATAGAGAAAATGAAAAATTAGTAAAGTTCAATGGAAGAGTAAAACCCTAAACCCTCACCCAAGAAATAAATAAGCAACTTTCTACAATTAAAGTTTAACTGAAAAAATTAGAAAGCAATAATAAATCCTAAACTCTAAACCATATATTCACAAAATAATAATAATAAGTGACCAAATTTTCAATGAGAAAATCAGTAACAAAACGTTAAACCTTAAATCCTAATTAAATCCTAAATACAAGAAATCAATCACCAAAACTTTTTAAAGTATTTTTAGTAAATTTATTTAAAATAAAAAACTAACTCATTATAAACTAATTAAAAATAATAATCCGAAAACCAATAACTAAACTTTAAACCTTAAACCCTAAATAATAAATGCAAGACACCAATCACCAAAATTTTTAACTTTTTTGTAATTTTTTTCAAAAAAAAAATAATAATAATAAACTAACTGATTATTAAACTAATTAAGATAATAATCTACTGAATTTCTACCAGAAATCTCCAAACCTAGTTAGACTCTTTATTCATAACCGGTATAGTTAATCATGGTTTATAGTAAACCGGATGTACAAATTGATTAACTCTAATAAACCAAGAGTAGAGTTTATAAGGTAACATACGTTCTTAAGAGAATCCATGGCGGGAGTGGGAGCAGTGTGGATACAGTTGTACTGATCAGGAGCAGATTCACCCCAACCATCTAACACGATCAAGGCGATGGTTTTGCCCTTGGGGAGCTTAGGGTGGTCATCAAGTTTCCAGGCGGAGTTGGTAGCCATGGCTGAGGTTTTGAGATTGGATCGAAAAAAAGATGTGGAGACAGATCTGAGAGAGAGACAAGTGAGTTTGGTAATGAGCAAGGGGCGGCTTTATAAAAAAAAGAGAGGCAAGTTTGGAGATGGGCCCACGTAATGACTATTGGGCCACTTGTATTTCACGCAAATATTAATATTTAGAGGCTCCGAATATTCTTTTGTTTTCCTTTTTGCTTGTTTCTCTAGTGTTAATGGATCTTTGTGTGGATACTCTTATTTTATAATAGTTCCCATTTTGTTTTTTTCTTCTATATGTTTTAGGGAAGATGACATTTTACATTGTAATATAGTGTGAAAAGAATAAGGAAATAATACTTTCTGAAAACGTTTATTGATTGGCCTATTGTTCTCACTTCCATTTCTTTCTTTTTTCTTAATGGAAGTAAAACAACACTTCCATATCTTGACTCCTATTATTTTTAATCGTATTATGGAAAATATTTGCCTTGTCACTTACTTCAAGTATTTAATAGTCATAGTATATGAAATATTGGCTTATTTCCATTACACAATTTTTACTTCCATTATACAGTTTTAAAAAAATTAAAATAACAAGCAGTAAGGAATAAAGAGTAGTTTGGTAAAATGAAAGTTTAATCATTTAATATCTTAAAAATATGGTAAATTAAAACAATATAAACATAATTTTCAACGTTTTTCTTCTATGCTATAATAAATATCTGATTTTATATAAACATTCTTAAACATATCTTATTTTTAGTCAACTGGCCGGACAAGCGTTAATCATCCTGATCTAGTTAACGTTTCCATGATGTTCTGAATCTTTTTTGTTTCTAGATTGATAAATAGAAGGCGTTGATCATGCAAAATTCATCTTTCTTTATTAATTTATCAAGGCGTTTGTTCATGAAAAGGCCTAAAGCAGTGCAGGTTCAAATGAAAACGTTACAATCAAACAAGTAAAAGGAGAAAACATAATACGAATGTACCAAAGCTAGAAAGACGAGAGGAATAAGAAGCAGAGTTGGGCAGCCTCGGATAATCAATTGGAGAAGGCATAACACATTCATCTCCATTGAACAAGATTCTCCTTGGAAAACCCCAGCCTTCTCTTAAACTGAAGTCCCCCATGTCTTTCCTTAGCAACAACTCTGTTTGCACATTCCCAATCTCTCCAGCTTGAATCAGTACATCATTGTAAAACTTGAATCCCCAAAACACCCCTGTGTCATCTGAAACCATACCAAGAAGAGTTAAAGACTTAAAAGATGTAATAATTTGAATGAAATGAAAAAAATAAGAAGTTACTTACTGATGCTGCTGTGAAGAGGTGGTATGGCTTTGTAGTTAAAGCTGAAGACTCGTGACACGTTATTCAAATTTGGATGTTGCACCACTAAGTTCCAGTCAGAGTAATTCCTCCTCGTGTTTAGATTCGTTGCACTGATCTTAACCCTCCAATACTCTTTGTAGTTCACTTTAACATGCCAGTGGATGTGTATGGGACACATATGTTTCGTACACTGCACCACAGGAGATACTTCCTCGTGTGGATCATGCTTCTGTTTCAAAAATGACGGCACCACACCAGATCTGAACAAGCCAGCAAGAACAAAAAAAACCTTATTTCTTAGGACACAAGGCATAACAAAACATTGATAATTACTTGACGCAATGGGAACTTGAGCAGCCGCAGCTACATGTAGGGCAAGGAACTATGTTTTCGTAGTAGAAGGCAGAGAGTGAAACGCAGCATTTTGGTGATTGTGATGACTTCAACTGCGAGTACAGGCACTCTGCTTCCCATGTTGCTGCTCTCAACATCAACACATAACACCAAAAATGTATGTCAAGTTACTTAAACACATACTTTTTTAACAGGCAACGCTTAAAAATGCATGAGTAATTTTATTATAAACGGATACTTTTTTATTTAGCGGACATGTCCATTAAATAAACATGTCCGCTAAAGAAAATGGACTAAATGGACCAATCGTATATAAATCAATTTATTTTTACATATGATAAATTAACCATGGCCAATACTCGTTTTAACATCACTAAATGTTGATAGAAAAAATAACAACATTGATGCATCAAGAAGAATATGGATTTATTTTACCTAGAGCTTGTGTTTTGCGTCGACCCTTATCAGTACTATACTTAGTAGGTGCCACGGACGTGGCATTGCCGCAGGTATAACCAGGGACCCCTATATCAAAATCATGAGGCATAGTGAACTCGCCAGGGTAACCAGGAAAGCTTCCGAGTGTCATGTGGAAAGCAGAGACGTGGTTGGTTTGGTCCTGAGACATAGAAGTCAAGACACCTCCACGGCAGCAGTTAGAGACTTGCATGTTGAAAGGAGCTCCGGGGAGAAGGTCGACGATGGTTGGTCGCCTGAGACAGCAGTGAGGGAGTGTTTCGCTGGAGGCAAAGGCTGAGCAGTTGCCTTGCTCCGTTGTCTCAGCTCCTCTCATGTCCCATATCACTGTTTTGTTTACCCAATGCCAACTCAGCTTCCATCCTGGCTTCTCCACGTGGCGGTACTCTTGCACGTTCTCTAATTTTACTAGTACCTGTAACATTTTTTTTTTTATTTTCCAAAGCATTTAAGTATATAATCAGACTTTATAAAACGTCAATACAACCACATAAAAATAATTATCAGATTTTACAGATGTAACGACAATAGTTTTATACTGTTGACAAAATCTCAAGCTGAAGATTCGAACGCTAATTAAATCATTTTGTATTTAAAAAAAAAATCATTTTATATAATTTTTTTTTATATAAAACAACAAACCTTGCAAAAACTATGCTGAGGAAATAATAAGAAGAAAAATTTACTGTGTGCTGGCCAGGTGAGGAGTGTAAAAGATCCCATTTGATGATCATTTTACCATATGGATCCAATGGGTCGTACCCATCTGCAACCATTTGATCACTAATTAATAATCAAACTGAGAAAACTAAAATTACATTTATGTAAAGAAAGAAAAGACTTACGTGTGGATGGCGAGATAGTAAAGAGGATAAAAGTGACTGCAAGCAAAAGCTTTAGCATTGCATTCATATGTTTGTATTGCAAATGATGAACAGACGAAAACGAGAAGAAACAAATTTTATTTTCTAAAAGAGAGAGAAAGAGGTAGAATTCTCAAGAGTTAAGTGTGACGACTCGTGTTTCCATGTTTAAGAGAAAGTTTTTCTTTTGTGCACAAGAGAGAAAGATAATTTAAAGCAAAGAAGTGGTTCAGTGACTGTCAGTGCTTGAACGAAGAGTTTTTGCATTTGTGAACACTCTTTACTCTTTTTTACTATTTTTGGTTTTTACATACTTTTATTTTTATTTAGTTATTAGCTGTAAACTTAACTCGGTTTGCCTTACTTGCACAAATGTATATGGTGTACATTGGTGGGTGGCAGCTGTTAATTCTACTACTATAAGTGTGAGAGAGATTATATAACGCTTCACGTTCTCTTCTTCCTCAATTTGTATTTAAATAAGTTTTTATTTTCTAAATCGTATGGTTTTGGATTAATCTAGACCGTATAGCTTGTTCTCTTTCTGATTGCATTTGTCATACTACTTTTTCTAAATCGAAAGATAAACCAATTTGTACATTGCAATTATAAGCCTCACATGATTCACATGCAATTAAAAATGTTGACCAAGGGGATAAATCATAAATCAAAGATGAGATTTGTAACTAGAGAAGAATGTCTCAGGAAGAGTGTGTGTTTTCATGAGACTCAGACATCAGAAAAGCTCGTTTCACGCGATCTTTGGAATTCTTGTTTTTTTTATCACTAATAATATCGAACGAATCGTGATCAACATTAACGTGCGTCAATAGCAGGGCCGGCCCTGGGCAATGCCTAGTGAAACATTTGTTTCAGGCCCCTAAAAATTTTGAAGAAAATTACTATGAGTATAGGCCCCCAAAAAAGTTTTTAGGCCCCCAAAATTTTTTTTACATAGAAATCGCCATAGGCCCCCAAAATCTCAGGGCCGGCCCTGGTCAATAGATGAAAGAAATTACAGTATCAGTTTTGCTAAGGAATAAGGATACAAAAGAAAAAAAGAATACAAACCAAAAATCATAATGATCAGGTTTGGTTCGATTGATAGGATTGTGAATGGCTTAGTTGGTTCAGTAAGTTTGATCGGTTAGGTAACTTTTAGGTTGGCATTTCAAAAAAAAAAAAACTTAGTTGGCACTTTGTTTGCATGCACTTGCATAATTCAGTGTCATTAGACAATACATATATCCAATAGTAAAAAAACTCACTTTTTAGGTGATAGTTTTCTTCATAATAAATACACTACATAAAAGTAGGCATGGGCGTTCGGTACCCGTTGGCGTTCGGAGCGGGTTTTTCGGATTTTCAGATTTTCGTGTTTATGCTCATAGGTCACATTCTAATATTTTACTAATACGGGTCGGGTTCGGATAATAACACTTCGGGTTCGGATAATAACACTTCGGGTTCGGTTCAAATTTGTATTGCAGCATAAAACCCGTAAAGTAACCATATATCATTCGGATTCAGGTTATTTCGATTCGGTTCGGATATACCCGAAGTATAAAACAAAATTTCGAAACAAAAACATAAAAAAAACACTGAAACTAAATATAAAATTAATCATACATACATAAAATTGATAAAAAAAATTGGCTCACAAGATCTTTACCAAACAAGCTACCTCATCCCGTCGAAATTCTGTGATGTTGTTATCAACCAAATAGTTTCGATTTAAATATGCGTGACAAGAAATCCAGTGATAAATTTTCAAACTGCATGACTCATGATGATATTCATTTTTTTTTGAAACGTTTTATTGGATAGAGTTCTTAATTGGTAATAAGAACCAGTGGTGGAGACACATAAAGTAAGAGGTGGCATCTGACCCCAACTCATTTTGAAAATTCTATGTAAAACATTGACTAATATTACATATGCCCCCATGATTTTAACAAAACTATCCTTAGTTTTATGAACAGATTTAATCATGCCCCCTAAAAAAGATCACTCTACCTCCGCCACTGAATCGGACCCATAGTTTCATAAAACAACTGAGTTACTTTTGTCTTCCCCACAAGCAGCACATTGGAAAGTTTTAAAAATAAGTTAGGGCCTTCAACGCGAGGGGAACGAGCTCGGCTATTTCAATATCCCAATGATTGTTTTCTATATTTTTCAGCATGTAGGGCGAAGCAGGTCCTGTTTGCATCACCTTTGATATTTTTTTTAAAAAAATTAGTTATAATATATTAATAAGTGTTTTATTAGTTTTAAGAATTATTTATTAGTTTTAAGAATTATTTATTAGTTTTAAGAGTTCTATTTTCTCATTATAAAAATTGTGTCTTTCACAAAAATATAAGATTAGTTTTCATTTTCCAAAATGCAACTATTGAGATGTTTTTAACTAGTGGAAAATTTTTTAATGTAGTTAAAAATATCCCAATAAGTGTTTTCTACATAGTTTTAACGTGCACTATTTGAATTATTATTTTTTTTTTTGAAAATGTAGTTTTAATATCTTCATCAGTGTCTTTATTAGTTTTAAAAATTGTGTCTTCTTATTATAAGAGTTGTGTATTTTCATTAAAAACTGAGATTAATTTTGATTTCTCAACTGCAATTATTCAAAAAAATTAAAAGTAGTTAAATAATATCAATCAATAAATGTGTTTCTATTATTATTAGTTTTAAGATTTGAGTCTTCTCATTATAAAAGACCAATTCACTTTTAAGAGTCCTTAAAATATCTCAATAAGTGTCTCTTCTGTAATTATGTGTCTTTTCATACGAAAGTGTCTTTTGTAATGTGTTTATTCATAATATATTATAAATTATAATAACTATATGCTTTTGAATCCAAACAGATATTAAAGGCTGTGTCTTTCGTCTTTAAAATGTGTCTTTTCATTTTAGAAGTTACATTCATTTAAAAGATGTTATCAAAATATATAAGTATTATCTTTTAACTTTAATAATTATATTACTTTAAAAGTTATTTAAACGATGTTTTTCTTCCTAATAACTGCATTGGTTTTAAAATATTTATTTATGCATCAGTTTGATATATATGCTATTTATTTAGTGAATCAGTGCAATGTTTGGTGAAAATTGTGTGGGTGATATGTTAAGAAGAATATGTTAAGGGAAAATATCACCGCCCCAACAGACCTTCTAGATTGCTACTCGAGCGCCGCGGCCCATCCCACGAGCATTGCCGGTAGAGAACCCTAGCAGATTAGTGCCATTCACGACGGATCATGCCGCGGTTGATGACGTGTGGGTTCCATGACCGTAGTTGTCTCTTGGAGATTTTGACTCTTTGGATTCGTCAATTGGTCCATACTTTTCTTCGTAACCACGATCAAAGAATCTAGCTCCGACTAGCTTGCGGTTACAAAGTGTAGATGGGTAGTTAGTCCCAGCCTCGCATGTGCCTTTCCACGTAGACGGGATGGGTCCGTATCCATCGTCTGAGTAGCTCTTGCTCTCCGGCCAAACCCCCGTGTCCAGAACTCCTATGACAATGTCGCTCTCTCCAGGGAATAAGGCTGTATTTTGCACTTCCAGAGGCTCCAGACAGAGGAACAGCGGAGTCCTAGTCGTGTGCAATCTGTACTCTCGCTCTGGGAGAATCGAGATGACCCCATGTTGACTCAGGAGCGACTCCACTTCTTCCGGAGTAAGGCGACATGCGAATCCGTGGATCGCATTGCTGTAGGTGTATAGCACTTCGGCAGATTCTCTGACGGTCCTGAGAGAGGACTCGTACCAAAGAGAATGTTGCTCGAAGTTTGAGGGCATCTGATCTTTCTCCATGTGAACTATGTAAGTTGCATGTTGAGCACGGCAGAAACCCAAATGAAGAAGAAGAAGAAGGAGAAAAGTGTAGAACATCATCTTTCGTAAGTGACAGTGAGGGGAATGATAAACGAATGTTTGATACCCAGATGATTTGTATGAGGGGACTGAGAGGATTTCGCTTGTTAGTGCGAAGAAAACAGTGGTTGAGTTCGGTCTTTATGCTTATTGAGTTTAGTTTCATTCTACTAATTCTTCGTAGACAAGATATCCTCTAAATAGTTATGTCTTTAGCAGCGAATATATTTATGATTACAATAACTATTTAGAGGATATCTTGCATACGAAGGATTACAATAGTTGTAACTCAATTCCATGACCGTCTCAAATAAATTTTAGACCATGTTCAAAAAAAAAATTAATGATATATTTATAATTTAATAATTTTTAAAAAAGTTAAAACAATGTTTAATGTTTCTTTAAAACTATAAGTTCTAATTTAGCAATATATCTATTTTTTTTTAAAAAAATATCATAATTTATCTATATATTTCTCAAAAATTCTTAATTTTCCTTAATTTTTCCTTATTTTTTTCTATTTTTATATTTGGGGCTTTGTTCGATCGCTCCACTTACACATGCTACTAGACGGTCCTGCTCAATTCAATAAAGGTAGAATAGGAAGTCATCACGATTTTAGTTAATATTTTGTACCCTAATTAAAATGAATATTCGACACTGATTTTCTTAAATTATTATTACCGTGTTTTTAGTTAACAAAAATCGATTTAGGAAAATTCATATTAATTCAGGAAAAGAAAAATAATATTTATTGTTAGATTTATCAAATATTTTGGCATTGTAAATGAAGTGTCTCTTGGAACATTAAAAGTCAAAACGGCAGCGCTCGGTTTTGGAGCATACCAATTTTTCTTTTATAGAATGCTGCAAAACAAAATGCTGCCGTTCTGACTTTTAATTCCAAGAGACACTTCTCAGGGAGACAAACCAATCTTACCTTCTCATGGCTCAGCTGTGATAAATGGATTCAGAAAAAAATCAAAAAGTTGCTCAAGAGCAAAATAAAAGACCGAAAGCACATGAAGAAGAGTGTAGCAGTGTCAAAAGATGATTCTGTGGAGAGATATTCTCTTCTGTTGGAGCAGAGTTTTAGAGGAAAAGGTGGTGACTTGCGTTCCAAGAGTTTAAAACTTACACATGAAGAGAGAAATAGCAATTCTTCATTGTCTAGCCTTGATGTTCTTGGGTCATTTCTTACCGAACTTCCCCGAGAGCGAGAGACAGTAGTGTAAAGATGTCTCTAGACCTAGATACTAACTTGGGACCCAAGAAATCATTATTGTTATCAGAGACTCTGGTAAGAACAAAGAAGGAAGAGAAGAAAATGAGCAGAACGAGAAGAGAAGCCAAGAAACAGAGACTTTACTCTCACCAGGTAAGATCTTGACAGAAACAGTTCATGATTTGATGGGAGAAAATTATGAAAAACACTAATTCTATGGGGATGCTTGTTCTACAGGTTTAGGTCAAAGTTCTTTAGAGATTTACAGCCATGAAGAAGATGAAGATGTTGCTGGAATCAAATGAGAATTGAATGTGTTCACACCATAAAGAAAGCCCAGAGACGACGTCAGTGAAAGCACCTGCACTGCTCCCAGCAGCTANTGATGGGAGAAAATTATGAAAAACACTAATTCTATGGGGATGCTTGTTCTACAGGTTTAGGTCAAAGTTCTTTAGAGATTTACAGCCATGAAGAAGATGAAGATGTTGCTGGAATCAAATGAGAATTGAATGTGTTCACACCATAAAGAAAGCCCAGAGACGACGTCAGTGAAAGCACCTGCACTGCTCCCAGCAGCTACACCGCACCATCAACAAGTCCTCGACATGACAATGGCGCCAGACTCGTCATTGAACCCAACTCTCCAAACCAAAACATCACCTGAAACAAGCAAGAAAGCAGGAACCACACTCCAAGCGCAGGACACAGTCTCCAACTAATTATCTAACTCTTTGTTAATTCATTATTTACTTTAAAGGCACATAATTAATAAATAAAAAAATATAGTTTCGCTTTTGTAACTGTATATATATATTACACAGCCATAATGACACAAAGAGTGTGCGTTTGTTTCTTCTTTTCACTTCCTTTACACACAAACAGAGGAATAATAAACTAGCATCTACTATCTATTGTTAAGTGCTTAAGTTTTTGACATTAACTATAAGGAACATGACGTGTGGTATAGGTTCCGGTGAACATGGCGGTGGATGTATGATAGTGATGCCGGGAAGACGCTTCTGTAGCACATAGCTTTGCCGGCTCCTTTACCTTGTGGAAGAGAAGGAATGCATTCGCTGGCCTCTCCACCAGTATAACTCGTTTAGTGGATTAGTGTTAAACCTGTTTATATAATTTAAACTGCATTAAAGACAAGAGATTTATCAACCAATGGAATGCTAAAAAAAGTAATGTTACAAGAACTTTCTCATTGTTTCCAAATGAAGTTGAAACTTCATATACCAGAGAAAGACGCAATATAGCATCTTCGGCTTTTGGGCTTTTGCTTCAGTACTTACATTGAGCACAGATTTGAGTGTGGAGCAATCATGTGAATAACAAGCCCACATGGCAGGGCAATATGGTTTTTATTGTTATGGTTTATTCGATTACAAGCAACATTACAACAAAAATGTTTCTCTTTCACTCTTTAGAAGCTACTTGTTTCTGTAAAAGCGCTCTCCAACCAATATCACTCCTAAAGAAACCTTCAGGCCAGTTGATCTGTTTAACCGCCATATACGCTCTTTCTTGCGCCTCTTCCAAGTCTTTACCCTTAGCAGTGACCCCAAGAACACGTCCCCCGCACGCTACAACGTTCCCTTCTTTATCAAGATCCGTTCCTGCATGGAAAACCTTCACTCCTGGAGCAACCTTTTCAGCTTCTTCAAGGTTTCTTATGATGGTTCCTTTCTCGTAAGCACCTGGATAGCCTTTGCTAGCCATTACAACCACCATGGCTGAATCTTTAGACCAATCTAGAGACACACCCTTTAGCTCTCCTCTACAAGCCGCTAACAAAACCTTAGCTAAGTCAGACTCAAGACGCATCATCAGTACCTGTATTAAACAAAGAAAGCTTCACTGTTTTAGAAACAAGAGTCAAACCAAGAACTAAACCGGTTAATTTTTTTTCCTAACCTGACATTCTGGATCTCCAAACCGGACATTAAACTCAATCAGCTTAGGTAAACCGGATTTCTTCTCAATCATGAGACCAGCAAACAGAACACCAACAAACTTACATCCTTCTTCAGCCATTCCTTTAACAGTAGGATGGATTATAGTCTCCATCACCACATCCTGCAGCTCCTTGGTCAAGACAGGAGCAGGAGAATAAGCTCCCATTCCTCCTGTGTTAGGACCAGTATCTCCATCTCCAACCCTCTTGTGGTCCTGAGCAGACTCTAGAGGAATAGCGTTTTCTCCATCCACAAGTGCAAAGAAGGAAGCTTCTTCTCCCTCCAGAAACTCCTCCACTATCACCTGACACCCTGCAGAACCAAACACACCTTTGACCAGCATTGAGTCAACAGCTTCATAAGCCTCCTCTAGTTCCATGGCAACTGTGACTCCTTTTCCTGCTGCTAATCCGTCTGCTTTGATCACGATTGGTACTCCTTGTTCTTGAATGTATTCTTTAGCAGCAGATGCATCTGAAAATGTTTTATACTGCAATCAAATTCAGTTTCAACTGCATTAGCCACATCAATATGGAATCCTTATGTTAAGCTCAAAGCTACATAATAAGCTCAGTGTTCTAAAAATCGGTTTAGACGGCGCCTAGGCAGCAAATCAGACCTATATTGTCGTCTATCGATTTCTTGAACACTGGCTAAGCTAAATCACTGTTCTTTAACCAACACATAACATAGTCTGATACATACAGTCCTAGGCTAGATACACAATACCTAAAGCTCGCAGTTGAGCTGCGGCGCTTCTTCAAAGCTTAAAAATTTAGGGTAACTGAATAAGAACAAAGTTCACTATCCTATCAAAGTAAGTTCTTTTCATAATAATCTAAAGACTTTATGGATTCCCAACACCAGGACTATGCACATAAAAAGAGAGATAGAGAACACACTTTAGCAGTAGGGATATTGTACTTGTGGCAAAGATTCTTCATAAAGTTCTTGGAACCTTCCAAAGCAGCAGCTTGAGAAGAAGGTCCAAAGGTGAAGATACCAGCGTTAACCAGGTCATTAGCCAAACCAGCAACAAGAGGCACTTCAGGACCAACAACCACTAAACCAACATTCCGTTTTCGACAGAAAGATATAACAGCTGAACTGTCTGATATGTCAAGGTCAGGTACGCAAGTAGCATCTCCAGAGCTCGTGATTCCAGAGTTTCCAGGAGCACATAACACAGAGTCACAGGAAGGAGAGCGTTTCAAGGCGTGACAAAGAGCGTGTTCTCTCCCTCCTCCACCTATCACAAGAACTATCACTCCCTCTTCTGCAGACACTGAAACAAAGTTAGTACACAAGCCAATGAACATTATCAATCTAAAGAGTATAGCAGGAACTTACCAGCGCCGCCGTTACCGCCGGGAGAAACTGAAAAAGACGGCTCAGACTCTGACATGACGCAACGAAGCCAAAGTTGGCGGCTTTGGATACGGTTAGAAAGAAAACGAGAGGTAAAGAATTGATTGGTGGTAGAGTGTTTGAGAGGAGCAACAAAGGAAGAAGAAGTAGAGGTGGTGAATCGGAGAGAGTTGAGAGAGGGTTTAGGGGAGTTGTTGTTGTTGGAGAAGAGATTGATGGAAGAAGAAGAAGGATAGAGATTGATAGAAGAAAGATAGAGATTAGATGTACACAACGACATGTCGGAAAGTTGGAACCTTTGCGACAGAGATGAAAGACAGAGAGTTTTAGACTCAGACCAGCGTCGTTCAAAAAGGGTTTAACACACAGCACTTGATTCCTTTTGTTTTTGTTTAATTTGTGTTTTTTTTATTTGTCCTTGATTTAATTAATTATAAAAATATATGAAAATACCTTATCATAAATTAATTTATACTGTTAAATTTTATGCAATTTCTTTTCTAAATCCTTCATAAACAAAGATTATTTGTTTGATTCTGTTCTTTCTATTTTTTTCTTTGAAACTTCAAAACTACCTTCAAATATTTAGGAATCAAACATTTACATGGTAAGACAAACATTCATTTGGCAAACAGAATGGGTTATATATCATATGATCTTGGCCGTGAAACAAACAAATAGTTTGTAACTAGCAACCTCAAGTACTGTTTGTAATTCATATCCTCATTTCTCGGTAACCAAACAAAAAAGGAGAACAACTCACTAAGAAAACAAAAGCCAAGAGGGTGTAAAATGACTTCTTCCTGCTCCAAATACCCATATCAAGAGAGCTTAGGCGTCCAAAGCCATGAAGAAGTTCTGCTTACGGGCATGCTCTGGGACAAGCCGGTTCACGATCTCAGAAGGGATGCCAGATAGCTCTGCACAACACATAAAATCAACTCCATAAAGCGAACGAAGCACCAAGTGATTCTCATATGGAGGACTAAACATTTTCTATAAGAGAGCTATTTCCTTTCCTAGATGAGGCCAAAATGTTCACCATACTTGTGAATTCAGTTTACTAATCATACTCAATTTACAAAAGGAATCTTGTAATGTAAAATGTGGTTTTCAGGTTTACATTTAATTCAGGTGTAAAACAACATGCCAACAAGTAGTATGATTGACTAGCCTACAACAACCTGTGCTTCATGGAAAGGTATAATAAGAAAAGAAAGGGAGCAGTACCTTGCGGTTTGAAGTTGAAAAGCGGAGGAAGTGGCCGGCCATTGGGGAGACGAGTGTTTGGGTCCCTTAGCTCATCAAACAACGGATGAATACAAGCTTCCAACTACAAAAAAAAAGACACCATTTAATAAATGTGGTTATAACCTTAGATCCTGAATCAATATGAAAGCATATATAACACAACGAAGGGCACAAAACCATGGATCACTTACAGCTGTGCATCTCAAATTAGGGGAATATTGGAAGAACCTACATAGAAGATCAACTGCTTCTGGTGGTAAACGTTTCTGGAAGACCTGATAATAAAGCGCAAAAAGATCAACTATATCAACAGTACTAGGAGTTAAAAAATTTACGCATACGTTTGAATGATTCATACTCCAAAATAATCACAAACACGAGATCAATATACATTAATCAACAAAACAACAGATTAAAGAATATCCCGGTAAGTGATAATCATGAACACTAGAAAGCATACCTTGTGCCATGGGTGAGGTTTTATCTGGGGGAACTTAAATTCTGTATAATTTGGATTCATGCACTTGATTTCCTCCCTTGTTGGTGTACCTAAAACCTGCATGAGAAATAAAAGCACACTAAGTACGAAAACATGGTTTTCTAGAAAAGGTTGAGGTGCATTCTCTACTTAAACCAAGCAGTCAGACTAATTGCCTCCTTTTATAATTAATATGAACTCAACCAAAGACGTAACAAACTGTGACCCACAAGTCTGGTATTCATTCAAATATATAGTTGACAATCTGCAAACAAGCTAATGCGTAAAGACAGACGAACAGTTCATAAACAAACTCTCTCGCTCAGCCCTTATCAGCACGGTAACGCAAGACAACTGATATGCTCTATGTTTGTAATACACTTCTTTTTTTTTTGTTCAAAAGTTTGAAATACACTTTTGAATAATTAATAGAAGGCTACCTTAATGATTTCAACAAGCTGATCGACTCCACTTTCACCAGGAAACAGAGGCTGTAAGACAAGTTAGTAAGGACACAAAGACGTAAGAGAGGAAAGAAGTATAATGATTATCAAAAGAATCATAACATTAAACAATGTTTTTTGCTTTAACCTGTCCAAGAAGCAATTCAGCCATCACACAACCCGTGGACCATATATCAATCGCTGTTGTGTATTCACTGGCGCCAAAAATGAGTTCTGGAGCACGATAGTATCTGGAGCAGATGTAAGATATATTGGGTTCTCCTTTCACCTAAGAAGAAGTTTTTTTTTGTTATATCCCACAAATAGTTTCTTTAAAAACCGCGTCAATAAATTATAAATCTTACCAACAATTTTGCACTCCCGAAATCACAAATTTTTAGCTGATGCGTATGTGGGTTCACCTGCACAACAACATACCTAAAGTCAAATTCAAAATGCAGTTGATTTAAAACAAGACACTGTATGACATTATCAAATGTAAAGCGTATACAAGACCCTATTTGTAGAGGTAAAGAACTCAGAACTATAAACTAATTCAAGAGAATAAGACCACAGCAAAGAAACTGCCATATGTTATAAACTTATATTGAAACAGGGAGGTACAGATGAGCTTACTAGCAGGTTTTGAGGCTTAATATCACGGTGACAAAGACCACAGCAATTATGTATGTAAGCAAGCGCCCTGCAAATCTGTAAACAATTAACAGAAACTTGTCAAAAAATCTTTGGAGAATGTCCAAAAATTATCAGTATGACAAGTTCATTACACTTTCAAAGCATTACAAGAATCCAGTTTGACATACATAGAATCTATTGAGATTAATATCCTCAGCGAAACAGAATGAGCCTAAAATTTAAGTGAGTGCTTATGAAGCTTCATGAAACACAAAAGAAACGAATAATGTTCAAATCCAGGAAAAATAGCTACCTGATAGGTGTAGAGTTTAACGTATATCAATGGCATCAGCTGATTCATCCTACTGTAACTTCTTGCAGCACGATTGACGGTCTCAGGCACAAACTCAAGGACAAGATTCAAATAAACCTCATCATTATCTGTTCTCGAGAAGAAGCTATGCTTTAAAGCAACAACGTTGGGGTGGTCTAGCATCTGCATAATTTGTAGCTCTCTGTTCTTGTAACGCTTGTCTTGTAGAACCTTCTTGATGGCAACAATCTCCCCAGTTTCCCTACACTTGGCCTACCACAAGGAAACATTAATGCGTGGAGGGAAGGGACCCAAATCAATAGTACGGCATCAGGTATGTAAATTCAACTTACTTGGAAAACCGTGCCAAATGAACCAGTACCGACTACATGTTCTGGTATGTAACTGACTATCTGTCATTCCAGATAAACAACTATATGAGAAAGAGTTTAGATAACAACGTTACACTTAACGCATACAATTTTCCATAACAATCAAACCTGACTTGAATGACCATCTCGTCCACGGACTGTGGTTCTAATCACATGGCCAGGCTCAGTACCATCCCCATCAATAATATCTGGTTCACTATCCTACAACATAACAAAAACCCTCACACACTATAAGCTAATCTATACTACAGTTACGGTATCAAGCTAAAAACAGTTGAAACACCAATTGCAAGACTTACCCTCTCATCATCAGTCACTGCTTTGTCCCTTATCCTCATCTCAACCAAATCTCTGGTCAACCAATCAACTGAACTAGAAGAGGTCTTCACACCTTTGGCTGATCTCGAACTGCCTACTCCGTTCCCCAATCCAGAAGAAGCCATGATATGTAATTCTGAAGTTATCACGTTCTAGTACTTGATGGTATCACAACCCTTAGTGATTTGGTTGTCCCATCTCAACAAAGAACCGATCTACCTAGTAGATGTTTAAGGTAAAGAAAAGGTATATTACAACTCATGGATCTCGATCACTAATAATATTGATAGTTCTCTGAACTGATATTTCTCTAACAGCACACTCTTAAGGTCACATGACTATGAGTCCATGATCACTAAAGAAAATATACAAAAAATAATCAAGTTAACAGGAAAGTTAAGAACTTTCTGGAAGCAATGATGAAACTTTTGAACTAGTGGCAATTACACTATCTACAACCCTAGTGAACAGATATTAAACCCGTCTGAATTGAGACCGATCAGATTTGATTAGTAAACCGACAAGGTTTGTCTTAAAAAAAATTAAAACTTTCAATAACTAAACAACGAGTAGCTCATAAAAACAGTTGTTACCTACCCAGAAGAACCCTAATCAAAAAGTAACAAAAAAAGCACATTGAGAATAATAAGGAGTGAAACAATTTAAAAGACAGTGAGAGAGCGAAAGACGATGATCAACCTCAAAGAACGGGAACCAAATTCAAGAATTTGAAGATTGTCTTCTTCGATTGAACTCCTCGATGATGATTTGATGATCAGATGTAATTAAAAAAAAGCTAAACCCTTTTAAGATTTGTCTGCTGGTTTCTGCTGAGTTAATATATACTTACTACTACCGTCCGTTTTGAACTAAGCGAGATTATGGAAGGCCAGCTCATCATTAATCAAAGTATTGATTGATATTAATCTTTCTATCTATAGTCGTTATCTCTATAATATTATTTGAGAAGTCAGTTTCTTATGTGTCGGACTCACGTTCATTCTCACGATGGTTGATTACATTGATACTCTTAATGAATTAAAAATAGTTGAAACTATTATTATTAATTCTTTTTTTTTTAGTTTTTCCTTTTCAAAAATTTCCAAAAAGATAAGTCATAAAAAATAATTTTTTATAAAGTCATAAAAAACAAATTTAAAACGAAAATATATGTATATATAATATGATTTCATAAAAAGGAAAATTGACAAAATAGTAATAATACATTTAAAATATTTTTAAATAACATAAAATATGTATATATAATATAATTTCATAAAAAAAG